ATTTTTCACTAATAAAGTGTCTAACAGTGAATATAATGGTGTTTTGACAGAACAAAGGATTCTTATAATTATCGGTTAAAAAGTTATGAAATCATAACTTACCAGAGATAGAATTTGTTCCCAAGTAAAAATATTTTCCAAATAAAATTCTTATTTCATAATCCTTAAACACAAAATATTAATCAAGTTTTAACTGTGATAAATTTTTAGACTGACTTTGGCTGCTGATAAGCCTTGCACTGATGAGTAAGCTCGCTGGTCAAGCTATGCGATCTCTGTGGGTCCACAAAAGGGGCTATGTGGTTGATAAAATGAACATTTTTATAGTCTTAAAAGTCTAGGATATGCATTCAATAAATCATTTCTTTTCATATTGGCTAAATTAATAAATTTGCTAAGATTGTTTGGAACTGATTTATTGTTTGACCTAAGCATTTCTATGAATTTGTACATACCCAGTACTGAGTCAATGATAAAAATAACATTTAATTAATTGAATTCTTAAATCATGGTAAACACTGTATATAAGAATAAAATGATACTCGTCTTCAATCTCAGAACATTGACACAATTGGCATAATCTTTCCTGTCTATCTATTCTATTCCTACCATATCTACCTGTTTGAATTCTAAAATTATGCGAAGAAATTCTTGAATGCGTAATACTACTCCTTAAATATTTAGATTTGATAGTATTTGAATAATTTTCAAAGTTTAAATCTGTTTTTAGATGAATATAAAGAGTGTTTAAAACATTATTATTGTTTAAATCTGCTTGCCATTTTTGTTTAAAGCAATCCAAAACACTTTATTTAAAATGTACCAAAAATGCATTGATATTATATTTTATGCCATTAGGTTTCAAAAATACATCTGCAAAACCATAATTTTCTAATTATATTTAAACATGGTATGTCCAATTTTTGACACCATTTAAACATTGTTTTAATGAGTTATTATATATTGTATTTAAAATAATATTATTTGTATTTGAAATTTTCAGCCAATGTTTTATCATTTGAACATATCTGTTAAAAAAATAAAGGGTATCTTCCTAATTCTCCGTATACAGCGCTATTGCTGGAACTTTTCTTAACGCCTAAGATATATTTGCAAAATTTGAGATGTACACTTTCTATATCTTTTGACTTAGAAAATCCCCATACAGGACATGCATAATTCAGAATAGAGCCAGCATAAGCATCAAATAATTGTAAAGAAATATGAATTATGGTGATAATTCTACCTTATTGATATAAATACTTTGTAGAAGTCATTACATGCTTTTAAGGCTTTTCCAATAATATATTGATTATGCAAAACAAATGAGCCCGTATAATTTAAAACTACTTCTTAATAGTTGAAATCATTAACTATCTCTAATTGTTCATTATTTTAAAAAAGTTTTTTTGTCTGTCTCCTGTCTCATGGGGCCCCTTTTTCTAAATATAACAACTTTTGTTTTTGAAGTATTAACTTGTAAACCCCAGTATGTAAAATATTCATATTATAAGTTAAGATTGGATTGTAAATCTTCTATAGAATGTCCTACTAACGCCATATCATCAGCAAAGAGTAGAATAATGATACAAAGTTCAACAATTGACAAACCACAATTTATTCTGTTCTAAGTCCTCTAAAAAAAGTGCAAACATAACCGGAGAATTATTTAGGCCTTGACGAAGACCAATTGAAATTTCAAAAAAATGTTTGCAATACTTAATACATAATTTAACAACAGTATATTACATAGCCTGGAACATTTTTAAATTTTTTCCCTAGATTCAGACGATTTATTATTATTATATGCCAGAAAAAATTTCGGGCAAATTATGTTATACCCCCTTGGGTCCGTCCATGCTTCTGTCTGTCCGTCCATCCGTTAGCAATTTGGTTTCCGGAGCATAACTTAAGTTCCATTTGGCCCACAATATTCAAACTTCATAGGATGATTGTCCATATTGGGTAAAAGACCCCTATTGATTTTGGGGTTGCAAGGTCAAAGGTCAAGGTCACTATCACCTTAAAACTGAAAACAGTTTCCGAAGCATAACTTAAGTTCCGTTTTGCCCACAGTGTTCAAGCATCATAGGATGATTGTCCATATAAGATAGAAGACCCCAATTGATTTTGGGGTCAGAAGGTCAAAGGTCAAGGTCATTATTACTTTAAAACTGAAAACAGTTTCCGGAGCATAACTTAAGTTCCATGTGGCCCACAATATTCAAACTTCATAGGATGATTGTCCATATTGGGAAGAAAACCCCTTTTTGATTTTGGGGTCACAAGGTCAAAGGTCAAGGTCACTATCACCTTAAAACTGAAAACAGTTTCCAGAACATAACTGAAGTTCCATTTGGCCCGCAGTGTTCAAACTTCATAAAATGATTGTCCATATTGGGTAGAAGACCCCTTTTTGATTTTGGGGTCACAAGGTCAAAGTTCAAGGTCAATATTACTTTAAAACTGAAAACAGTTTCCGGAGCATAACTTAAGTTCCATTTGTCCTACAATATTCAAACTTCATAGGATGATTGTCCATATTGGGTAGAAGACCCCTATTGATTTTGGGGTCACATGGTCAAAGGTCAAGGTCACTAACATTTAAAACTGAAAACAGTTTCTGGAGCATAACTTCAGTTCCATGTGGCCCACAATATTCAAACTTCATAGGATGATTGTCCATATTAGGTAGAAAACCCATAATGATTTTGGGGTCACAAGGTCAAAGGTCAAGGTCAATATTACTTTAAAACTGAAAACAGTTTCTGGAGCATAACTTCAGTTCCATGTGGCCCACAATATTCAAACTTCATATAATGATTGTCCATATTGGGTAGAAAACCCATATTGATTTTGGGGTCACAAGGTCAAAGGTCAAGGTCACTATTATTTCAAAACTGAAAACAGTTTCCAGGACATAACTTAATTTCTAGTTGGCCCATTGTGTTCAAACTTTATAGGAGGATTGCTATTTGAAGGAGGTAATACTTTATTTAATTTATGTATTAATGTCTTACAAATGCTTCATCCTTACTAAAAAAAAAAACACTTTCGGGCATATAATGCTGCGCCTAGCGGTGTTCTTGTTAAATATAGCTTATGCATCTTTATAGATATGTTTTGCCTGCCAGCGCACTCAGAATCAAACCATTTGACACGTTTGACAATTATTGAAAATGTAATTGAAATTATTTAAGATTAAACTGACCTTCTGTTAATTAGATTGACCCCTTTAACTATTATATTTACTCATTAATTATTGAACACATTACAACTGAGAATAATTATATAGAACTGATATGCTACTCCCATGTGAATTGATTCACTAGAAATTTTCATTATTGTACTAAGAGGCAAATTAAGGACAGATAACTGGGATCAGGTAAATGTTTAAAGTATTTAAACATTGATATAGATCAATGAAGGGAGTCAGTCTCTGCATCATTAACATCATTATATTGCCGTGCTTGAATTATAAACCACACAAAACGTTGTCTGTCGTCACAAAGCTTCTGGAAATAGTCGAGTACTATAAAGATGTTTAATGAATTTACAATGATATGGCTATATAAGGTATGTTATTTTCTGGTTTTTATTTTTACCTGGAAAAGTTAAATAAAGAGATAATCTAGATTTTTAAACAATGACATGAATATGAAATTTTTCTTATGCAATTTCTGTTCTGTTAAAGAATTGTAAGTACATTATTTTTTTTTTTTTAAGTACATTAATAGAATTTATAATGGACAGATGGTAATTGGCTATCATATACTGATCTATGAATAAATAGAAAATATTATTATCTGTATATAATAGATGTAGATCAATTTTAGAAATTCTCTTGTGAACAGATATTTAACTCTTTTATATAAACAATTATTGCACCAAACCTTAAAAACAGAAAATTTAGATTTATGCTAATGGAAGTTGATTGATTATTAATATTGTAGTAAACAGAACAAAATAGACCAGTTCTTTTAAGAAATATTATTTTTAACATAGGGCCATGGCCCAGGCCCTATAATATACAACAAAAGAATATAGAGCCATGGCCTTCTGTACAACAAAAAGATTATGGGGCCACAGCCCCCTGTACAACAAAAAATATTGGGCTTTGGCCCTCTATAAAAATATGTGACAATGACTCTCTATGCAGAAAAAAAAATGTGGTCACTGCCCTTTGTGCAACAATAGATTTCCCTCTAGACAAGAAACAGAATATGTGAACACTGCCTCTTAACAACAACAAAATAATTATGAGACTTATGTGAACAATCCAGCTAAACACAATTGATTTAATTTGACTTCTTACTTTTAAATATACATGTATTCACTAAACACATGAAGGTCAGAAAGATTATGATAATTTGACAGGTTTATTATATAATAATAAATGAAATATTAAAAAATATGATGAAATAAAATGCGCATTTTCATTTTCTGTTAAAATTTATTTTTCACTGCGAGAAACATATTTTCCATATTTTCACAGGTGTCTTGCTGGACTACTTTCTGCTTAAAATTCAGTCAATACACAAAAATAAAGTAGAAGTCTAAATAATGTAAGGTCAAAAAAAAGAGAAACAGTATATAATAAACAGAAAATTCAAGTTTTTTTTCTAAAAATACAGGATTTGTTTTTATCTTGTGATATGAAAATTATCATATTTTACTTGTGGCTCCCGCCACTTGTGAATTTTTTTTTTTCATACCACTCAATTAAATAATTCCTGTATTTATAGAAAAAACTTGAAAATCCTCTATTTATTAATTTCAACATGCTTGTTTATAATTGAGATATTCTGAGTTCATGTTAAAGAGGATAATTTTAACAAATGAAAGTACTGAAAGAAAGCTGCTAAAATCATACAGACTGGTCAATCTTCAAACTACTGGTCAAACTACCTCATAGAAAGTTAAAAGACATCGAGTACTGTGGCCTGTATCATACTTGTAAATCTATTTACCTCAAATATAAAAACCCAGTATATACACAATGTATTTTTTTTCTATTTACAGATTGTAGTCGTATGGGATGTCCTTTTATAACAAAGTTTCACCAGTCAATGAACACAGTATCATGGACGATAATGAACATTATGTGACACAGTCAACATCAAACCAAAGTGTTGTACATGATTCTTTAAGAACACAGTCTGTTCCAAGCAATGATAGTGTTGAATTGTTAGATACACAATATGTAAAGATTGCAGATACTACTGGCAGAGAACAAAGTGGTAAAGACAATTTTGATTATGAGCATGAACATTATGGTGGCAGAAAATTGTCAGTACATTTTAATGGTGTTAAAAGTCAAACTAGCTGTGTTGATAGTGTATCAGTAACTTTTACAAAGGGGATTTCTAGGAACCACAATGATGATACAAGTAGTCCATCTATGTTATATCGTGATATCAGTAGTCCATCTATGTTATATCGTGATATCAGTGTGGACCTCTGGCTTGTAAGTTTTATATTGTATTTATAATGTTCGTATTTTTATCAGGTTTTCCAACTGAAAAATCTGGTTATATATTGAACTAGTAAATGTTTATGGGTGATTTAATGAACATGAAAATTGTAGGAGATCAATCTAATATATCTTGCCAAATTGTCTTAATCTTTGTAATATTGACAAAAAATTATTTGTTATTTGAGTTGCTATTCAGTCTTTGGTATGTATATTTAAATGTTATATGCAAACTAAATAATGTAATATGTAATGATCTACAATTAAGATTATATTATGTACATCATCATTATAGAGAAATAATCTCTGGGGACGTCTGGTTGATTGTAACAATAAACTAAAGTCTATCTAACTGCAGTGATAATGCATGTAAATTAGTTGAATTATAGAGTCTGTATACAGCCTATAGGGAAAGTATGAAATAGACTATAATATATGCTGCAGTTTTAACATAATGTAATGATTCTATGAAGAAAGTGATAATGACCAAACATTTTTAATACCTACAGGTCATTTATTTATTTATTTGTAGCTCCAGTATAATGAAACATGATACATTTAAAGGGTATAATTATTTTCAAGACATGAATGATGATCTCTACTCCAGACTTACATTTAAAGACACTCAAGGGCAATTATTAATTCAAAACAATTTATATTCAGACAAGAATGACAATGCAAAACATTGACTTTTTGAGAATCAGTACATGTACCACATAGCAGCAGATGGGTAAAGATATTGGTACTTGTTATTCATGTTACATGATTTTATAATGAGTTGATATATGAAGGTCATGAGATGTTGCCTGACAAGTCTATTGTTTTCTTGGAAAGAAGTAACATATCTGTCATATCTTATCAACTTGTTTACATAGAGGAACACTGTCTCACATAAGACTGCTTCTTTTATGAGAAGTTACCATAAAAAGTATAGTGAATGCTCTTGTTATTCAATTTAACCTACATGTTTGTCTTTAAGATGGGATGATGTGCCAGCAAGACACAGTCCTATGCTGGGATGCTGTATTAGCATTATGCTGTCAAATTAACCTATGTCTAAATTGTAAAATGCTGTCAAATAAACCCATGTCCAAATTGCAAAATGCTGTCAGATTGACCTATGTCTAAATTGCAAAAAATGCTGTCAAATTAACTTATGTCTAAATTGCAAAATGCTGCCAGATTAACCTATGTCTAAATTGTAAAATGGTACCAGATAAACCCATGTCCAAATTGCAAAATGCTGTCAGATTGACCTATGTCTAAATTGCAAAAATGCTGTAAGATTAACCTATGTCTAAATTGTAAAATGCTGTCAAATTAACCTATGTCTAAATTGCAAAACACTATCAGATTAACCTATGTCTAAATTGTAAAATACTGTCAGATAAACCCATGTCTAAATTGCAAAAATACTGTCAGATTAACCTATGTCTAAATTGCAAAAATGCTGTCTAAATTGTAATGCTCAATATACACTATGCTGTCAAGTGAACCTATGTTTAGATTTGGATGTTGTCTTAGCTCTAGCACTTTTTTAAGAATAGTAGGGCTGTCCTTAACCCCCACAGCCTTGGCATAACACTATGGTTAAAGTTGTATGCCTAAATTCTTGTACCAACCTCTAAAGTTTGTATCTTCACATGCCATTATTGTAGGTCACTTTCAGAGGCCCATATATCTGGTGGGGAATCTGGCACAGTTATGGTCTCTTGAGTTAAATTGGTTAAATGTTTTGTATGAACATTGATATTTGAAGCAATTGGAAATATCTACTTTAAACTTCAAAGATGTCATCAGGATTATTATTTGAAGGTCACTTTCCAAGACCCAATTAACACATGCAAGGACATTAACTAAAAATGACTTTTTGTAAACTTGGAAATAACTTAGTCACTATCCAAAACTATTTTGTGTATTTTGAATAAAATATTCTCCTTTGTTAATTCCTGCATTATAACTGCTCTTGTTTTACAAATATTTGAGTTTGCAGTCCTAAAGAGTCAGATGTACTTTCTGTTGATGACAATTCTAATGGCTTCTCCATCAAACAATATTATTTCCGAGAAGCCCAACACTCTTTTATTATGGAATATTTCATCTTTATCAATCATCATAATATTGGTAATTCAAACTGAGCATCAAACTTTGTTAAAAACACCACATCTTATAAAAAATATGACATCTTATACAAATTGTCAACCTGGCATCACATAAATGTATCATATCATTAATATTATGCCAGTTATGACAGTTTGTCTTTCAAAGAATAGCAGTTGTTTGATCATATAGCAGTTATCACCATCAGTCTCATAGGTGAAATATTGTTACAATTTGGGTGCTATATATCAGAGGCGTTATTCGTTCTTTTTATAAAAAAAGTTGCAACAAATATTTGTTTGGTTTACGGCAAGGATTAAAGCACAGAACAAGTCACTGTAGCAACAACATGTATGATTTCACCATATTCATGCTTCATATCAGTTGAAAAACAAACATTGAACAATCCATATTTTCTCCAATAGTTTAAATGAATGTGAAGTTGTATAAATACATGTTTGTAATGATTATCAATCAACTATCTTAGGATAAAATATTGACCAAATTGTTTTTGTTTTACTGCCGTGAAACCATTAGCACTGTGTTTGATAGACTCTAGAATCTAATCAGTTATTTCTCCAGTTGCTTTGTGTGACAACATTGAGCTACAATAAGTAGTTTATTGTTGGTGCATAGTGATTTCTTATTTCTTTAAATATTACAAATAAACACCAATTTTAACATATTCACAAATGTTTTATATCAGATTCGTAGTTATCATACAAGTTATGTTAACATTTTTGTTATACAGACATAGCTTAAGAAATTAATATTAAACAAGTTAATTCAGTGATGGAAGTTGTCATTTTGTGTACATAGTATCTGTCATAAAGATTAATAAACAGCATATGTCCCTGAACAGTTTTAATGAAACTGCTACTGAAACATTTTACAGGGTGAACTTTTTTATGTTTCATTTTTATTTACTTTTTATCTCACCAGAAACGAAGGTTCAGGGTGAGCTATTAGTATCAAAGGATGATGCTCTGGTGTCCGTCATCTGTCGTCATGTGTCAACATTCATCTTCTTCTCTGAAACCGCTGGACAGATTTACTTCAAATTTGGTCTGTAGCATTCTTGTGACAGTCACTGTTAATTTGCTCATATTATTTCAATTGTCCCTTTTAGGGGTCAACAGAGCTTAAAATAGATAAAAAAAACTTAAAAAATCCTCTGCGACGGTACTAATTGATGGATGATCACCAAACTTTATCAAGTTAGCTCATATTAATTTTAGTGGCCTCTAGAGCAAAAATTAGAAAAACCTTTAAAGGTCATCTCCTACTGAAATAATTGATGGATGATCACCAACCTTTGTCTGTAGCATTCTTAGGTAGTCTTAGGTAATCAAATTTGCTCATATTTGAAGTTTAGCTGGTTTTGCCTTTCCGCAAGTTCTTTTGAAAAATTATTTTTAACACTGAAAACAGTTTTTTTTCTGGTGAGCAATTCAGGGCCATCATGGCCCTCTTGTTTTGTTTAAAACTTGATGTCTTTAAGCCTTCAGTTTTACATGAAACATATCCAAGACTGTTTATTTTTGACCAGATACTAATATGGTGATTTTAATCATGAGAAATTTATGTTTGTTTTCATTCTCAAAGAAGCAGGATTGTTAAACATAGATATACTTGCAGACACCATGATATATACAGCTTAATATGATTTTAGAGATATGCTTCTTTAGATAATATCATGTAATGCAACAATACAAACCATAGCTTCAAAGACATACACTTCATGCTTTTACATGTTGGCAATTGCATAACTAGATAATAGTGAATAGGTAAAGATTTCAACATAAGATTAGATATAAAACACATATGTTGTGTTATAACAATTACAACACAATACTCCCAGACAAATATACATGTATATGTTTATATTACATGTTGTATAAATTTATAATTCCCAACAATTTTCCTCTGTCAGATGTATGTTTGTAAAAGGACTTTTCATCAGTTTTGTTTGGGTATATTTTATATATTTGTTTATCAGTGTCACAACATGGTTTATTCCACATTTGTATCTATGAAGAAGGCAAGTAGTTTAATTTGACCATTACATCTTGGTGATGGTATACCATTGGATAGCTTTAATGGATCTGAAAATAAAAGGGCATTTTACAGAAGAAATAAGGTTTCTTCTTACTCGGATAAACAACAGCATCATAGAAATCTTCTATTCTGTGATACGAAGCACTTAACTTTAGTTGTTAATTTTGTCTACATGTGATTTTTATGCATTTATTTAATCAAGTGTTTAATGCTGAATAAACTCGGTAATTATTGGTATAGACAGAATGTTTTGGCCAGTGGCATGAAACACATCACTTCATGTCTAGTTATTAATTCATTTAATTATCTAATTGATTATGATGTTACTTGATGTATGTATGTAAGGCAGTCAGGTAAATATTTGTGACTAACCCTCACTGGGAATTGAAGAGAAGTGTAGCTTTGGGGATTTACAAAGTTGCGTGACAATACAAATGGATTTATCTATTACTGACCACTTAAATCAATGCAAATTTTAAACAATTTGATGGTAATTGACTGCAAATTGAATTGTTTTCATCCATGATGATAAATATATAAAAGGAAACATGTCTTTGATTTTAACATGTTTTTTATAATTAACTAGAGAAGGCTTTAGTAGAAAAAAACACTTCATGCAAAATAGGCGCATAATAAGACAAGCGTAAATATTCAATAAGTTAAAGAAGGAAAATGATTGGAAAGGTAAGATACATTTATGTGTAATTAATTTTATTTTGAAAAATTCTAAATGTGCAGATTACCATTTTTATATTTTTCTATACAATTTTAATATGTGGCATCATAAGTCATATTCAACCATAAAATTATTCATTTTAGCAATAATTCAGTTTAGAAAAAGAAAGTGGACACATTTCATTTCAAAGAAACAAGTATTTCAATGTTCGCGAATTTTAAAACTTAAGATAATTTTTTTAAAGAGAGGAAAAGATAAATATATAATTATACAATTGTATAAATGTATTAAATATATACTTTTGCCATCATTAAAATTGGACTTTTTAATTGTCAGCAATAATCTTGATAATTTTATTATTTACTAAAAAAAGTTGCCCGTACATATAGATCCATTGGGGTACTTTTTAGGGAGATAATTATTCCATATAAAAACTAAAAACTTTTGTAGCAAAAATAAGAATTGTAAACTAATAGAAGTCTGAGTTAGAAAATAATGAAAATAGTGAACATTTTTATTCTGTTTAACCCATACAATAACAGCCAAATTTTTAAAGAGTAAAATGAATTCCTAAATTAACACAAATTAAGAATTTTGAAGAGGAAAATTAGTATCATTTTAGCTACAAGATTATTTGTGTAGAAATAAAAGGAAAAAGAAAAAAATTAATGCATGTTACAAGGGGATGTACAGTTGTACCATATAACAGTCACCCCCTCACCCCTCATATCATTCACCCTTCTAGAACTCAATTATGAATTCACTTTACTTTGCAATGCTTTATATATATAAATGCTACAGATTAAGTATCACTTCAAACAGCAAAGTTAACAAAAATGATTGACTAAATAATATCTTGTGAATAGCTGTATTTTACATTAAAAAGATTTTTATTAAACTTTATTAATTAACTAGCTATTCCAAGTTTTTACAAAAGTTATAACTTAAAACCCTGTTGGAGAGAATTTTTGTGAGAATTTTCTAATTTAACATATTTTTTTTTAAATGAGTAATTTTAAAAAGAATAATTTTTTGGAGATGACAATGTTGACAGTTTAATGCCATAAAAGTTTTCTTACATGAAAAATACAAGTATGTTATAAGATACATTTGTAAAATGCTCAGGTTTATGCTGAATTCAAGTTTTGTTTTCTAAATGAAACATCTTGGTTATTTGATGTCCTATCTCCCCCAGTATGTAAATCAGTCACAGATACATATATGATAAATCAGTCACAGATACATATATGATAAATCAGTCACAGATACATATATGATAAATCAGTCACAGATACATATATGATAAATCAGTCACAGATACATATATGATAAATCAGTCACAGATACATATATGATAAATCAGTCACAGATACATATATGATAAATCAGTCACAGATACATATATGATAAATCAGTCACAGATACATATATGATAAATCAGTCACAGATACATATATGATAAATCAGTCACAGATACATATATGATAAATCAGTCACAGATACATATATGATAAATCAGTCACAGATACATATATGATAAATCAGTCACAGATACATATATGATAAATCAGTCACAGATACATATATGATAAATCAGTCACAGATACATATATGATTTACTATGAAATATTAGCGTGGTGACAGATTGTATGACGGATATTCCCTGGGTAATGGTGTTGTCTATTCCTGTTACTGTATCTTTTTTTCCAGGATTATCAAAGTAATCTTTATATAGACGCTACAAATGTTTGAGAAAAATGTCTTTATTTGGTACTTTATGTAAGGTTCTTTCAAAAGCTCAGCTTGATTTAAATATCATTTACTTTCAGTTTTTAGTAATAATTGTAGAAATTGTGCATGATTTTACACTAACACTTGTTAAAAAATACACTGACTTTTGTAAAACAACAACTCTTAAAAGTTGTATGAAATAAAAAGATTTGAACAGCATTGATAAATGACCCTATAGTATAAGTCCAGTCAGATTTGAGTTAGAATCTTGGAGATGTCTCAAACTAAACTGCTTGGAATGGTATTAGTTTAAGTAATCTTTTAGTGTTTACCAATGCTTTGATGCCATAAATAAATGATTTTCTTTTCCCTAGTCTCAGCATATATTTTGACCATAGATAATAGCTGGCAAATCATATGCTGAATGATACTTGACAGTTAAAGACAAATCTTAGTGGTTCTTGTAATTTAATTGTCAATTAAAATGTTTCATATCAAATGTTTCATCATTAACAATGTTATTAAAAAGTAATACCTATTCCAGATTATACGAGATGATCTAGTAGCTGACCTTGAGTACCAGCTCAAGTTGACCCCTGAACGTATCAGTGTCAAAGACAATGCTGGTAATACACCAGTACATGTTGCTGCCAAGTACAACAGAGTTAGGTCCCTTGCAGTCCTGCTCGAGTTTAAAGCCCGTGAGTTACTATGGTTTGTTATCTATAATATTATGAGAGTCAAAGGTAACTGATATAATGATGGAACTATGCGACCTGTATTTAGCCATTCTAGCCTGTACATCCATACAGTCTGACCTGACTGCAAACTTTAGTAATTTAATAACAAATTATTTTAAGCTTCAAAAATTTAACAACATAGTTTTAGAAGTTTATATGAAAGGCTAATGTAAATGTCTTTATACAAGGAGTTTTAACAACAGTATACCGTGTTCTGAAGATTTTAATTATATTGGCTGGTAAATGTAATATACTAACTACTGGAACAAGTTAATGGTTGAATCTTAAAATTTTAGATGAAACCTTTTATCTATGCTACTGTTGAGTATTGAATTTGCGTAATGAAAAAAAGTGTATTCTGCTTTATTCTTTGATGATTTAATATGAATATTTGAAATCTTTAAAACTTTGTATACAATGTTTGTAATTATGATAAAATTTGATTTGTGTTAGATCCAAATGCAGCAGGTCCCTATGATATGTACCCACTACACCTAGCAGCGAAATATAATTCAATAGAAGCTGCAAAATACCTGCTCGATCATGGAGCCAATATCATGTGTCGAGACTGTAAACAAAAAACACCTTTACATCACGCCGCCAGGAAAGGTCATCTCGGCATGGTTGAGGTAATTATACTGAAATTTTAATTTCTTCATAAAGTTCATTTTAATTCATTCATTAGCTTTAAGCAGTTAGAAATCCTATTGGATTACCACATGAAATACATTAACTGATAAATACTGTCAAATAGGGATTCTGTAGAAAATGGTTAAACATTAATATCTGCAAAGTACATTACAAATTTGCAAAATATTATTTAATATGAAGCACACTTTTATCAAAGATAGTTTTGCCATTTATGTTTTTCACCCACCAGTTATAGAATAAGTTTATTGTGTTCTATTTGTGTAGATGTTGTTATTTACTGAGGGATGTCTTGTATTTGTATAGATGTTGTTATTTACTGAGGGATGTGTTTATATTTGTAAAGATGTTGTTATTTACTGAGGGATATGTTTATATTTGTATAGATGTTGTTATTTACTGAGGGATATGTTTATATTTGTATAGATATTGTTATTAGTCCCCTACCGGTTTACCGGAGGGGACTTTAGGTTTACCCTCCGTCCGTCTGTCCGTCCATCCGTCCGTCTGTCAGTCCGTCAGTCCGTCCGTCCACAAAACTGGATCCCGCGATAACTTGAAAAGTACTGAAAATATTTTTATGAAACTTGGTATATGGATAGATGGCAGTATGGAGATTATGCACATCTTTTTCTGTTCTTCCTATGTTGAAAATTCTGGTTACTATGGCAACAAATAGGCTGAAAATATGGCAAATTTTACACATAAACTTGGATCCAGTGATAACGCAAAAAGTACTGGAAATATTTTTATGAAACTTGACATATGGGTAGATGGCAGTCTTGAGATAATGCACGTCTTTTTCTTTTCTTCCTATGTTGAAAATTCTGATTGCTATGGCAACAAATATGCTGAAAATATGGCAAATTTTACACATAAACTGGATCCAGTGATAATGCAAAAAGTGCTGGAAATATTTTTATGAAACTTGACATATGGGTAGATGGCAGTCTTGAGATTATGCACGTCTTTTTCTTTTCTTCCTATGTTGAAAATTCTGGTTGCTTTGGCAACACATAGACTGAAAATTTGGCAAATTTTACACATAAACTGAATCCAGTGGTTACTCAAAAAGTACTGGAAATATTTTTATGAAACTTGACATATGGGTAGATAGCAGTCTTGAGATTATGCATGTCTTATCTGTTCTTCCTATTTTGATAAAATATCAGTTGCCTTGGCAACAAATAGGCTTAAAACATGGCAGATATAACAATATTTGTGATTAGTCAAAAAGAGCTGAAAATTTTTATGAAATTGCATCTTTAATTCAAGAGTTATCTCCTCTTTAAGAATTTTGCTTTTAAAATGTTATATTTTGGTAACAGGGATGTTTCAAATATTAACTTTAGAGTGACCTCAGTCCGTCTGTCTGTCTGTTCCAAAAAACTGTTTCCTGTGATCACTTTTAAAGAACTTTTCCAACAAATTTACTTAAAATAGAGAAAAATTGAAACATTAGTGAATGGCCAATGGCCCTTCAGAATGCTGATGGGGTTCTAACAGGTAGGGGACTTATGGATTGCTTGCAATACTATGATAATTGCTTGTTTACTATGGGATGTGTTTATATTTGTATAGATGTTGTTATTTACTGAGGGATATGTTTATATTTGTATAGATGTTGTTATTTACTGAGGGATATGTTTATATTTGTATAGATGTTGTTATTTACTGAGGGATATGTTTATATTTGTATAGATGTTGTTATTTACTGAGGGATATGTTTATATTTGTATAGATGTTGTTATTTACTGAGGGATGTGTTTATATTTGTATAGATGTTGTTATTTACTGAGGGATATGTTTGTATTTGTATAGATGTTGTTATTTACTGAGGGATATGTTTATATTTGTATAGATATTGTTATTTACTGAGGGATATGTTTATATTTGTATAGATGTTGTTATTTACTGAGGGATATGTTTATATTTGTATAGATGTTGTTATTTACTGAGGGATATGTTTATATTTGTATAGATGTTGTTATTTACTGAGGGATATGTTTATATGTGTATAGATGTTGTTATTTACTGAGGGATGTGTTTATATTTGTATAGATATTGTTATTTACTATGGGATGTGTTTATATTTGTATAGATGTTGTTATTTACTGAGGGATATGTTTATATTTGTATAGATGTTGTTATTTACTGAGGGATGTGTTTATATTTGTATAGATGTTGTTATTTACTGAGGGATATGTTTATATTTGTATAGATGTTGTTATTTACTGAGGGATGTGTTTATATTTGTATAGATGTTGTTATTTACTGAGGGATATGTTTATATTTGTATAGATGTTGTTATTTACTGAGGGATATGTTTATATTTGTATAGATGTTGTTATTTACTGAGGGATATGTTTATATTTGTATAGATGTTGTTTTTAGCTCACCTGTCACAAAGTGACAGGGTGAGCTTTTTTGATCGCTTTTCGTCCGGCGTCCGTCCGTTGTCCGTCCGTCCGTCGTCCGTCCGTCCGTAAACTTTTACTGTAAATGACATCTCCTCATAAGGAAGCCAATTTCATCCAAACTTCACAGGAATGTTCCTTTGGTGGTCACCTTTAAACATTTTTCAAAGAATTTAATTCCATGCAGAACTCTGGTTGCCATGGCAACTGAAAGAAAAAACTTTAAATATCTTCTTTTAAAAAACCATAAGAGCTAGAGCTTAGATATTTGGCATGAAACATCTTCTAGTGAGTGTCTACCAAGTTTGTTCAAATAAAAGCCCTGGGGTCAAAATTGGCCCCGCCCCGGGGGATCATTGATTTTCCCTATATGCATATAGTAAAAACTTAAAAAATCTTCTTTTAAAGAACCCAAAGAGCTAGAGCTAAGATATTTAGCATGAAACATGTTCTAATGGGTGTCTACCAAGTTTGTTCAAATAAAAGCCCTGGGGTCAAAATTGGCCCCACCCCTGGGGATCATTGATTTTCCCTATATGCATATAGTAAAAACTTAAAATATCTTCTTTTAAAGAACTCAAAGAGCTATGGCTAAGATATTGAGCATCAAACATGTTCTAATAGGTGTCTACCAAGTTTGTTCAAATAAAAGCCCTGGGGTCAAAATTGGCCCCGCCCCAGGGGGTCATTGATTTTCCCTATATGCATATAGTAAAAACTTAAAAAATCTTCTTTTAAAGAACCAAAAGAGTTAGAGCTAAGATATTTAGCATGAAACATGTTCTAATAAGTGTCTACCAAGTTTGTTCAAATAAAAGCCCTGGGGTCAAAATTGGCCCCGCCCCGGGGGGTCATTGATTTTCCCTATATGCATATAGTAAAAACTTAAAAAATCTTCTTTTAAAGAACTCAAAGAGCTATAGCTAAGATATTTAGCATCAAACATGTTCTAATAGGTGTCTACCAAGTTTGTTCAAATAAAAGCCCTGGGGTCAAAATTGGCACCGCCCCGGGGGTCATTGATTTTCCTTATATGTGTATAGCAAAAACTTAAAAAATCTTCTTTGAAAAAAAAAACAAATAGCTAGAGTTAAGATATTAAGCATGAAACATCTTTTAGTGAGTGTCTACAAAGTTTGTTCAAATAAAAGACCTGGGGTCAAAATTGGCCCCGCCCCAGGGGGTCATTGATTTTCTTTATATGCATATAGCAAAAACTTAAAATCTTCTTTGAAAAAACCCAAATAGCTAGAGTTTAGATATTAAGCACGAAACATCTTCTAGTAAGTGTCTACAAAGTTTGTGCAAATAAAAGCCCTGGGGTCAAAACTGGCCCGGCCCCAGGGGTTTCATTGTTTTTAACTATATGTGTATAGTAAAATCTTAGAAAAAATCTTCATTTAAAAAGCCCAATGAGCTAGAGCTTAGATGTTTAGCATGAAACATCTTCTTATGGGTGTCTACCAAGTTTGTGCAAATAAAAGCCCTTGGGTTAAATTGGCCCTGCAACGTTGGGGGGGGGGGGGGGTTGGGGGGGCCTATATACAGGTGAGCGACCTCAGGGCCATCATGGCCCTCTTGTTTACTGAGGGATATGTTTGTATTTGTATAGATGTTGTTATTTACTGAGGGATTATGTTTGTATTTGTATAGATGTTGTTATTTACTGAGGGATATGTTTATATTTGTATTTGTATAGATGTTGTTATTTACTGAAGGATATGTTTATATTTGTATAGATGTTGTTATTTACTGAGGGATATGTTTATATTTGTATAGATGTTGTTATTTACTGAGGGATATGTTTATATTTGTATAGATGTTGTTATTTACTGAGGGACATGTTTATATTTGTATAGATATTGTTATTTACTGAGGGATATGTTTATATTTGTATAGATGTTGTTATTTACTGAGGGATGTGTTTATATTTGTATAGATGTTGTTATTTACTGAGGGATGTGTTTATATTTGTATAGATGTTGTTATTTACTGAGGGATGTCTTCTAGTTTGTGTAACATGTTGTTATTTACTGAGGGATGTCTTGTATATGTTTATATGTTTGTTATTAACTGAGGGATGTCTTCTATTTGTATAGATGTTGTTATTTACCGAGGGATGTACCATAGACTGTAGAGATGAGGACAGACTTACACCACTACATGAAGCTTGCCAACTTAAACAGTCACATGTTGCTAAATATCTGGTGAGTGTCTAACTTTGTTGCTCTTCTTACCATGAAATAAGCTTGTGTGTCTATATAAAATAAATAAAAAGATTTTAAATTCTTAGATGTAATGTCAGGATCATTCATACATGAAGTCCTCTACATTTGTGAAGTTAGAAAAAAAAATCATAATTATATAGTGAAACATACAAAAATACAAGAAAAAGTAGAACTGGTTATACTCGGGGCAAATAGGAACTTCGAAATTGTATTTAAAAATATCTTTTTTGGTGTTTTTTTTTTTTCACAACAAGTTGATTACATAACAATCTAAGCATCTTGACCATTGAAATGAACAACTTTTGAAATTGATTGTTCAATTCAAATATCTTAATGATTGAACAAATTATTTGCGTTGCAGAGGAGCTGGCCTATAGCTCTATATGTTAATATTGCAATTGTGGATTTTGAAAATCATCTTTATTGCCACTGTTTTATTATCAACACATATTAATGTTGTTACATTATATAGATTGATCATGGAGCTGACACAGATGCACGAGATATCTCAGACAGTACACCATTACTATTTGCTGCTGCTGAAGGACTTACTGATATCATACATGTCATTTTAGATAAAGGTATGACCTTTGATATCATGTTAGATAAAGGTACTCCTTTTGATATCATTTTAAATGAAGGTATTCCTTTTGATATTGTTTTATTAAATAAAGGTACTCCTTTTGATATCATTTTTAGACAAAGGGACTTGTTTTTATATCATTTTAGATAAAGGTACTTATTTTGATATCATTTTAGATAAAAGCACTGATTTTTATATCATTTTAGATTTAAAAAAGATACTCCTTATGATATCAAACTCTATTATGATATCATTTTAGAAAAGAATTTTCTTTGTTTAAGGAACAATATCATTGTAGCATAAATGTAACTTATTGATATCATTGCAGAGAATCAAAATTTTTTGACATCATTTATGCTGTTTTTTAATGATTTTAGATAAAGGAACTCTTTCTGATACTTGATAGGAACTATTTTCAGATATTTTTTCAGACAAAGGTATTCTCTATTCAATGTTTTATTACTGCCCTGGTATGTTTTCTGTCTTGCTTATTTGTGTGTGTTTTTTTCCAAGCCTAGAATAAACTGTCAAAAAAATTTGATTGACAATATGTAGCATTCATATTTCATAAGATATTTAAATACTATTTCACTTAGAAAATGATAGTAAGGCTGTTCCAAATAAAGGCTCTTGTTCACAATGGCTACACACAAGTTTGATTATTTTTGTTTTGAATTTAATTTTAAAGCTCTTGTGTCAATTTTAACAATATATAGAGATGCATTTTTTCAGCATTTTATAGACATTTTTGGCTGGCTTTATTGTTAGGAAGGTTTAAAAGGATATGGTTGCATTTTTTTTGCTCGCTTGATTGCCAGATATTATTTTGGTGTGGACTAATATAATAATTAATGTCTCAAGGTTTGACTTTAAAACCACTGGAGTGTCCAGCAATAGGGGAACTTAGTTGAAAGTGCCCTGCATGGATGAAGCAATGTTAACTCATGATGATAGCATTATCAGAATATATTGTTAATGTGTATATCATTTGCGGTTATGTCTATATACATCAGTCCAAACATTGCAGTGTTGACCAGTTGTCTTATATATATTATAAGCAAATGAAAATTCAAGTAATGGTTACTAGAAAACATGTAATAAGAATTATGAATTTTGATACAATATAAAATGAAGTTGTTCCTACAATATAGGCCCACAATGGAAATAAGGAATTTAAAGTTTCTTCTTTGTGTGATTATTGGTATTGAGTTGCTTGATATGGGGCAATACTCATGTCTGTAGTCGGCTTTATCTATTTCATCATACAAACTATTGTACTATAAAATCACAATGATACCAAAATTATTCACATATTAGTGTCAGAAATATTAAAAGAGTTTTATTAGCACATTTTGTTCTTTAATAAAGTAAACTAATTTATTCTACTTTACTATGAACAACCCAGTCTTTATATAATTTTTTCAACACATACCTTTAAATGATAATAATGTAACTTTATAACTAATCATTTTATTTTTGAATATTTCAGCACAAAAATGGAAGGGTAATGCAGGTAAAGATGCAATGATGAATCATGTTGATAATGAGGGAACAAGCGCTCTGCATCTTGCTGTACAAAACTATCAAATGGAGGTAAAAATATTAAATAGGGAACTAGTGCTGATGAAATGCAATGGGGGGGGGGTTAGAGTTATGTGTACCTCCAACCATGGTTTGCAATACTCCATGTTAGAGTTATGTGTACCTCCAACCATAGTTAGCAATACTTCATGTTAGGGTTATGTGTACCTTCAGCCATGGTTTGCAATAAGAACAAGATTTTCATCCTGTTATGAAAAAAGATTTATGATCAAATAAGGTTTTCTCTGTCTAAAAATTCCATAAACAGTGATTTTTATCTTATCATGTATTTTAAATTAATCGATTTTAATATAAAAATGTAAAAATACATTTTAATTGTTAAATGTTTTTTGTTGTTTTTTAATAACAGGTCATAGATCTGTTGATTGAAAATGGAGCAGAGATCAACATGCAGAATGTAAGTCTAGAATAGGTTGTCTTCAATATATATATAAATAATGTGATGTGAGAAAGTAAATATTTATTATTGAAATGTATGTCATATGTTACTGATGCGTTCTTATAATAATAAACAGTCTTACTTGTATCAACCAAGGAATACAAGTATTTTCAGCCATATTTTGATAAAAAAAATATTAGTTCATTATAAATGCATCTTCTAAGGAAATAGAAATAAAGGATAATGTCTTAAAAATATACCAGAAACCCACAATTATTTCATTTAAATTGACAAGTTAAATTTATTTAAACTGACAAGTAAAAATTTATGCCAGTTGTTATTCAATGATGCTGTTGAACTGAGGCTGCTATTCTTAAATCTTCTCACCTTGTTTAAATTGGCAAACTTGCCAAGTGTTTTAAATAGATGTATTTTATTGTTTCTGTAGGTAATTGGTTTATAAACTGTTAGGTTAATGTTTATTTACATTTATCTTCACTTTGTGCTATCTTGACTGTTTTATCCATTTAATCTATTGATTTATTTCTCTTATTATTGATACAAATTGAATACTGATTATAAACATGTTAAAGAGGAAGGGGTGTGTTACAACACCTGTGAAATAAATGATTATCACTTTAAGAACAGGTGATTTAGAAACAAAGTATTAGAACTCTTTGTTATTGTACATAATATTGTCTGTGTTTAGTTCACTTTAAATAATTCAGGTATTTTTTCAGCTTCTCACAATATTTCAGAGTCAACAATTTGAGATATGTTTCCTTTTGAACAATAATAGTTAATTTGGAATCTGTAAAGATCACTTAGAATCAGGAATCTAATACAATGTACTGTATTTCAGTAAGCTCAGAACTACAGTTCATTTATTTGCTTTACTTAAAAACGGTCATGAATCATGATTTTCATAAATTGCCTAGTTATTTCAGCACTTAACCCTAGCTGGTGTTTATATAATTTTGTATTACAAGAAAGTCAGCATTTTAAGATAGAGATATATTTTCCTTCAGCGTGCAATGCGGGTATAGTATACATGTGTACTATTTTGCAGGTGATGGATTTCATTAAAGAATAATATTTTTGTTGAAAAAACTTTAAATACATGTACTTAACACACATTACAATTTCTTTATCTACAAGTACTTACAAAAGTTTGATATCATATATACTGGCAGGGTACTTAAAAATGTTTGATATCATATATACTGGTTGGGGGGAATGAAAGGTGTACGTATGCAAACACAGATTGTCATCTAATCACTCTAAGTCATGTTGTAATCACTAACTAATTCATTAATCAAAAATTTGTATATATTCTACATAATTGATTGGAGAAGAAAATTTTTACAGCATGTTACATTCCATTACATCTGATTAATAGTTGATATGTAATTAATTATCATACATGTATATAATTGGTTATCACCGGTACATGCAATATTCGCTAATTACTTAAATAACATGAACATTTCATTTTCTTGATAAACATTGGCAGTGACCTTATAATATATCATATTTACAATATATTGGGAGAAATTGACAATATATATACATGTAAACCAATATTTTTGTATTCAAAATATAAATGATAGAAGAGAAATATCAATTATACTAATTTTATGTCCCATAAACATGTGATTTTGGTGTATCTCATAATATACAAGTTTTGTTAACTATTGTACAATCTTGTACTGTACCCTTTTATTGACTTTTTTGACAGAAATTTGGTTCAATTCAATGAAAATTGTCTTTATGTTTGTTGTAACCTTCATCTCAATTAAGAATGATCTATTCCCAAGAAAATTTCTTCAAAGTTGAAAATTCTGTCCAAGATGAAGTATACATAATTCTGTACATAATAAAATTCCAGCAGGAATTGTTCTAGTTTTCCGCCTAGAAAAGTAAACAAATTGTTTTCCATGCAAGAAAAATGGTCACATTTGCATTTTCATTCATGGTCGGCCCAGAAATCATTGATTCCGTGAAATTCTGTCCCATTTCCACCAAAATTTTGTAAAGGTAATCAGAATTGTAGGAGACCTTACACAATCTTGGTTGATTTTATTTTTTTTTTCAGATGTTGTTTCATTAAAAATGTACAAATAAATGTACAAAATAATCAGATTCTATATTTCACTATGTTTTATTAAAAATACAGTTATTTCAATGAAAAGGATGATATTTCAGAATAATTAGGTTTAATGTTTTTTTCATGAACAACAAAATGTTATGAAATAGATCTTAAGAATATTTAAGGGTTATTTTCAATGCTGTTAATTTATTTATGTAAGTTGGGATTTTGTTCTTGTAGAACACAAACTACACCCCGCTACATATGGCTGTAATAGGAGGTCAGATAAACATTGTAAACCAGTTGTTGGACAAGGGAGCTGATATAGAAGCTAGAGATGGTGATCACATGACTCCAGTTCATAGGTAAATTCTTGTTGTATCTAAATATTCAGATTCTATATTTTTAAAAATATTTTATTAAAAAAAAATCATCAATCTTAATTTTCTATGCCTTTAATTTAGATGTATATGATACAGTGCTTACTTAGTTTTCTAACATCAAAACTATGGCCAGTATATAATTAAAGAATATTAGTTAAACTTCTAGTAATATAAATTTGTAATATAAACATTCTCTCTTATCACCTAACAAACAAGTGTAGATCATCTTTAATTGTATAATTACACAGTTTAAGCGTCTGTCATATATACATTCTCTGCAGATCTAAACCATAGTTCATTTCTGGAATATGCACTTCCATATTTGTATTTTCCATTATTGTAATACTTTAAGTGTATTCAGAATTCATGTCCCATTTAATCATGACTTTCTGCCATTTTTTCATCTTCATTGGCTAACATGCTTTCATATTGCATTGAGCATCCCATCCTTTCTTTACCTGTGTCACCAAAAATGTATATTATTTCAGTTTCTAAAACATATCCAAATAGGGAGCGAATTGGATTTTAAATCCAAATGCTGCTAGTTCTATCTTTAGGCAAGGCATAATTTTTCTTTGAAATATGATCTTGGGCATCAAGTATAATGTTCATTTGTCTCTCACTGGTAATCAAGGAATCATTTGAGATTAGTAGTTATTCACTTGCAGAGAAATTGGTAATTTCTGGTCAGTTATCCAGGAAAGCTGCTTAAGTGGATTGACCACCATGATATGACCAAAATATGTGTTAAAATAGATGTTAATGTCAGGATAAAAAGAACAGACAAAAAATAAGACATATATAATTTGTTAAGTAAATAAGTTTCATTTACTTTCAGGTGTGCTATGTATGGGAAGAAAGATGTATTAGAAGTTCTCCTACAGAAGGTAAAACATAAAAGCACCATTTTTTTTTATCAAGTATCAATTCAATATACATTGTTATGGTTATAAATATTGTTTTTATAATTTATCAGAATATAATTATATTGTGTGTTCATTTACTTTTTGTACACATGTATTACAAAAATTGAAATTGTTCACAAAGCTTTTTATATGTGATTTAAGAGAAATTTTACAATTGTATTTGAGCAGGGAGCAAACTGCAATGCTCGCACAAGTGAGCAGATGACCCCACTGTTGGTGGCATCATGGAAAGGTCATGCCGCAGTGGTAGAATATCTTCTTTTACACAAAGCCAAGGTCACTGCCACAGATAGCTGTATGAGGACAGCTTTACATTGGACAGTTGATCAAGGTCACTATAATATACTACAGTTACTGATGAAGGTTAGTTCACCATTGACAAGACAATTATTATTGTACTTGGATACTGATATACTAAAAACCAAACACAGAACACATGATTTACAAAAGCCTGAACAGGTTCTACATTATATGTATCATACCCAAAAAAATTAATGAAGATTTTCTTGAAAAGAAAACGTCATGAAGAATTTCACTCGAAGTTGTATAAATGTCATGTTAAGATATTTTGTCTACCAAACATCCTTAAACTTTTTAAATTCTGACTTTTAACTTTTTTAAGAATATAATTTTTTATTGCAAGGGTACATTTCAAACTTTTAGTTATGTCAGTTAGTACCGTATAAGTACTTTTTTCTGCGGGAACTTTATTTCTGCTATTTCTGCGGTTCATAACGACACCGCAGATTTAAAAACCGCAAAAAATTAAGCCTTTCGTTTTGTATTTATCGAAATATTTAAACTACCGGGATAGTTTCAATACAATACCATGTGCAGTTATCCGCTTTTGTAGATGGGATGTTTTTTATGTATTCATCATGAACAAAATATAAGAAAAAAAATCTTACTTTGCTTGTTCTTTTCGTTGAAATAAATAATTATTATGTTTGTATGATTTTTCACTCACCCCAAGCTTGATGCGTCTTTGGTGAATAGTTTTAAAAAAAACAGCTATAATTATAGTTTGACTGGTGATGCAAAAATGACCCTTGTTTGTTATTTTCATTAAAACCTGCTATAAACACTTCTTTTATGTATCTGTACAATATATTAAGACGATGTGCGATTTTGCCATTGTTTATTTTCACACTTCGTATTTATACAATTACAGTATTAAAATTTGTCATTGCAGGTTATTTTCCTGTTTGTTTTTAACGTGCATATACCAATACATATTGATTACAACGAAACTTATTATCAGTTGTGGAAGTAATGTAACATCAACAAATCTTGAAATGTTGTCTTTTTTATCGGTTAATTTTGTACAAATATCTTAGTTAAAACACAGTAATAAAACTTATCAATGCGATAATGATGACACCGCAGAAATAAAATATGCAGAAATTAAACCCCTTATTTTAACAAAAATCGCAGAATATTAAGCCCGCAGAAATAAGTACTTAATATACGGTATATTTTCAATAAGATCACTCTTGAAATTTGATATAAAATACTTATTGTCCCAGAATGGTGGAGAAGAATTACTAAGTGCCATGGATCACAGAGACCAGACTGTGGCTCACTATGCTGCTAGAACTGGTAACACTATGGTACGACTTTACTCATCTTTGCCCATAATACACTGATTTAACTTAATGAACGAATTATTCTTTGACTTATATAGTATAGCAATAACTGAATTGATAAAAACTAATGGTATAAATTATTTGAGAATGTTGCAAATACATGTGAAATAACTATAAATTATTCGTGAGAAGATGCATGTAGCTGATATAATTAAAGGATAAATGGAAAGTAGTATTGATGTAAATAACAAGACTAGTATAAACTACATGTATGTAGAATATATTTCAGATGATGAAATTATTGATAGATTTTGGTGTGAAACTGTCAACAAGAGATCAAGATGGGAAAACCCCTCTTCATATAGCAGCCGAGTATGGGCATATTCTTACTTACATATCTTTATACCTTACTCTTCTAAATTTGTACAAATCTACTAAATGTGTATCATGATCTGACTCTGCTAAATGTGTGTTATGATCTGACTCTGCTAAATGTGTATCATGATCTCACTCTGCTAAATGTGTGTCATGATCTGGATCTGCTAATTTTACTCTGCTTAATTTGTATACTGGTGTCAATTGCTCATTTAAGGGATTTCAAAAGAGCAAAAATTATGTAGTAAACCATAAGATATGGGTCCAGTATAAAGGGATATAATGGCCAGCCAAGCTGTTAACTAATGACATACATGTTTGTATGCCAGTATTCTAAATGAAAAATACTGATGATTTATGATTGAAAACATGATGTGGTTGTCATTAAAAAGAAGTATGCTTATTTCATGTGTTGTTATTACTTATTTCATTTAATAAAGTGTAATTAATAAACATATGCATTCTTGAAATGTAGTTGTCTACTGATACATTATTTGAATCTACACAATAGTAGTATTGACACATACATGATATTCTAAGTGTTATTATTAATCATGCATTCATATTTCAGATGTGGTAATTACACTAGTGTTGAGATGCAGATAGATACAAGTAAGTCAGAGTTAAATGATGGAGACAGTGATGGTCGTACACCTCTAATGTTGGCTTGTCTTAGTGGACATTTCAAGGCTGCAAGGTCACTTCTTGCACTAGGGGCAGACAACTCTATTAGGTATATATTCCAATGCCTGTAAATAGTTAAAACACCTTCTTTTTTTTGTAATGATACTATATACAGAGAAGCTGTCATTAGAATTGCTATATTTTTTCTACATTTTATAGATATTTTGTCATATTCATTGAGGATAGTCTTTGTTGGTACTGCTGTATTTTTTTCCGCAGCAAATTGTAATAACAAAATTACTTTACTTTGAATTTATCATACTGTGATTGACTATTGCATCTTGCCACTAATTGACAAATGGTCATTAGTGTTTACGTCAGTTACTTTTTACAATAACATCCAAGATGTCTTGGTCAATGTGCAATGTTTCTAGGTAGTGCTACATTTGCAAATTAGATCATGTTGGGATAACTGCGGTATCATTGTTGAAGGGATATGATAGTAGCTGTGCATACTTTATAATTAAAGCTATATGTTTTAATTTTGTTACCATAAAGGGATGAGAATTACTGTACAGCTATGATTTTGGCAGCATCTAAAGGTCATGTGAAGGTCATGCAGCTATTAATAGACAACCTTACAGAGGTCAATGTGTGTGATAAATTAAAGGTTTGTATTATATAATGACAATTCCTGAAAATAAATATTTGTATGCAATACCCCGGTACTTAATGCGAAAAAGGATAACATTAAATATTTTAATACATTTTTGTTATGTGAAAAAAAGATTTATTCCATTTTTATTCAGTGATATGTATTTTTGTAATATTTTCATATTTATTTGCTGATACATTTGCAATGTTTTGGTGTTACAGTAATATCTTGATTTTACCTGGAAATAAAAGCTATATAAAAGATTTATATAGTTGGTTACTGAGTTACATAATGTTTGGTATGATTTTATACTATACAGAATACAGCCTTACATATGAGTGCAGCGGGTGGTCATGTTGATGCGGTACGACTGTTGTTAAACAAGAATGCCTCCCCTATTATGTTAAACAGTTACAAGAAGTCTGCCCTGGATATGGCACTGGATTATGAACAAGTTGATGCTGCTGTTACTATGATGAAACATAAGAAGTATGAACATTTATCAAGATATGTTAAACCCCTCCTGTTTATAAATACGACCCAGAAACATTTGAAATTTCATCTTTAAGTTTTTTTCTATTTCTTTTTATAATTACTTTCGTTTTTGCAAAAAAATCTATATTTTTTAAAAATTTGATTGGATAACACAGGTCAGGTTTATTATACTAATTCTACTCTTTCAAGCTAAATCTAAACACAAACACATGCAAATTTTAATTTGAACTGTAAATAATTTTGGCCATATATGGAGTGAAACAATGATTTGTACTTTGAAATAGAAAGATTTTTTATTTGATGACCATTACAACATTACTTCTTGATATAACATGCATATATATATATTGGTGACCTAGAAAATGATTTTATCATTTAAAATATTCACATGACTTTCTTCAAAATGAAGTTACATAAAGAGATTTGTTGTAATATATAAGATATACTAACTATTTATAATGTTTAAGGTGGAAGGAGATAATGTCACTAAGAGATAGTCAGGGATATACACCCATGAAGAAACTTATTAGGAAAGCTCCAGAGGCAGCAATGGTATGTCATTTATTTTACTGTAGTTAGAATGTACATGAATATTTATAGGACATAATCCAGGCATCTTTCCGTTTGATATTTTGTGAATGCCAAATATAGTATCTAGTTATGTACTTAAACAAGAAAAGAGACAAAAATATTACATTATTTTATAAACAGTGTTTGGACAATTCACAACTCATTAATTTTGAATTTCCCCTCAAGAGTATTTTCTAGTGCGGATGATTTCTGCTGATACTTATTCTAAATGATTTATTACTTTGTTTTGTTTAACTTTATGAAGACATGAAAAAACACTTGAAGGGATTTCTGCAATAAAATTGAATATGGTAGAATAAACTGTAAACACAAATATAAATTTATTTATGTAAAATTTATTGAAAATTAGTTTCTTCAATTGTTTTCAGTTTAAATTACTTTCAATTTTTACTGTAAGAACTATTTGTGTATTAGTTACTTAAAATTCATGTTGAATGTAAGGGAACTTAACTTTGTCCATCCAAGGAGAGTTGTCTGGGGTAGGAAAATACCATGAGGGGAATGGCCTTGGGGTAACAAAATTCAGCCATAATAGATAAGTAAGACATTGTCACATAGGAATATTGTGGTTGGAATTGTTGAGATTTCTAAATAAACTAACCAGCTGTATTCAAGTACATATGAAGTGTTTTTGTCACTTTGACCATGTGTAATTATCTTGTGATATCACAGTCTGAATAAAATCCAGAAATTGTAAGTTTGATCCTTTTTCCCCAGCACAAATAACAGTCATTTGGATATTTTGACTTAAAGACGTTTTCGGGAGTTTTCAGATAGACATATAGACAAAACTAAAACTGTTCAATAGAATTTCTTTAAACTTGTCATGTTGTTAGAATATGATAACAGAAACATTTTAAGTGAAAAAAAAATTGTGGTCACCGTTCTCATTTATGAGTTATCTGCCCTTGAATTGGACTTTTTTGTTAAATTCAAGGGCAGATAATTTACAATGAATTCATGGAAACAATACATTTTTTTTCTTCTTATTTTTATGAAGCTTACCTTCGTTTTAGTTGATATTCAAAATTTCAAGAAATTTTAACCTGTGCATTTTTTCTTAAAAAATGGCCTATTTTTTAAGAATTTAAAGTACCTTTATTTTCATTGAAAAAAAATTAACAGAAACGATGTAAGGAAGTGCATGTTATTATGAATTGTAATCAACAATGAAAAGAAAAACATAATCCAGAAGTTAAAACAAGAATTCATTTTAGTATGTATAAGTTATCTGCCCTTGAAATGACCTTAAATAAGTAGAAAAGTCCAATTCAAGGGCAGATAACTCAAAAATGAGAACGGTGACCACAATTTTTTTTTCGCTTAAAATGTTTCTGTTATCATATTCTAACAACATGACAAGTTTAAAGAAATTCTATTGAACAGTTTTAGTTTTGCCTATATGTCTATATGAAAACTCCCGAAAACGCCCTTAAAATCCATGGTCCTGTGTAAACATGGTTTGAAACTTGCATGTCAAAGAACTAGTTAATTTCATCTGGAATGTAGAAGTCTTTTTATCACTTGCACTATCCTGCATAAACTTGCTAAATGTCTTTGGGATTGAGTTGCTCATGTAGAAGATAATGTAATGGCTACTTTAAATAAACGTTTTATTAAATCATTTACTTACAGCTTTAGATAAACATTTTATTAAATCATTTACTTACAGGTAGTAATGGATAGTTGTGTTGTGGAATCTGATGATAGGAAAGATGACATGGATTATTCAGTAAGTCATATAGATATTTATAGCTTGTTCTTGACATCGATTAATGTATAATGCATATTTAGGGAAATTGTAATACTACCTTCAATATTATGTAATTATAGTCAAAAACCTGCCACATGTCCTCAATAAATTTTCACCACATCAGCGCTTGCTTAAGTTACTTTTGAATTAGGAATACCGTAGCCTTGAGTTCAAATTTTTGAATTAGATGAATTTTTGTTTCTCTTTGAAAAACTGTTGGCCAGGAGACATTTCTAGCATGCCTAAGCACAAAAATTTGAAGTAAACTTTTGGGATGGCAAGTTGTCAGTTTTAAAACCATTATCCACAAATTCCTTAAATAACATGGTGGATTTTGACCAAACTTCACAGGAATGTTTGTTAGTTCGCCCTCTACAAAAGTTGAGAAATGGTGTTGGCCTTTTGCAAAAGTAGATCACAGAAGATTAAATAAAACTTAAAAAATGAAATCTATAAAAATCTCAGAACTTCATTGCCCTAGCTTAAATATACACATGTATATAAAACACATTTTGCATCTAACATTGCCTAGTATCACTATATAAAAGTTAAATAAATCATAAATCATACCCTTTAGGTCATAAATAGCCCATACCTGAAACACTTAAATAAATCCTCTCCTTCGTAACTACGATGCCCAGAACATAGATGTATGGCATGTCTAGCATCACCTTGTGGTTCTCTACCCAAGTTATATAAATCATGCCCCTTGGGTCAAAATAAGAAAATAAATTTAAGTCTTCTTGTTTAATAGTTAACCTTTGTATCAGTTATGTTGAATAGTAATTGTATTTCTCTATATTACACCAGTACTGGTTAGTTCCAGAACCAATTTCAAGGCTTCCAATTTGATCAACATTAAGGTCAAATAGATGTATTTAATATATGCAGACATATTATAAGAGACGTGTTATAATTAGTTGCAGTATGACTTCACATACATTGATCCTGGTCCAGATGATCCTTGCTGTGAAAATAGAAGATATTTTGCCCTGGATGTAAGTATTTACAGCTCAAAATAAATCATTATTAATCTGTATATACTATAACAAAGCTTTTTTTCTTTTCTTTTTTTTTCACTTGAAAAATTTAATTAATTATCCTATATGAGTTTTAGGATTTTTTTTAAATTGGCTCAAATGTTCAACTCATCAAGACAACATGCAGAACCCATCCATCCTTGTTTTATTTTCCTTTAGTTGAAAAATGTTGATTTGCAGTGGGTGGGGTTGGGGCTCTATACTAGAATCACTATCTTGCTGTTGTCAGTCAGTTTGTTGGTCTGTCATCACCATGTCTGCTTTTTAAAAAGTGGTATGCAGAAATTTATGCCACCGTAGTGCCGACACAAAGTCAAGGTCCCCGTTGAGGGTTAAATGTCAGACAACCAATTGTGTCCACATTATAAACCTTAAATAATACCCTTTAAAAAGGATATACTTTGAACTTAATATGCCAGCTTCAAGAGATGGTCAAAGATGATGTTTTAATGACAGAATGTCAAATATTGCACAGTTTTGTTTTTGCTCCATTGATTCAAATTTGTTATGATATATCTTCTAAATTTTTAGCTTTAATTTTTACTAATGAAGGAGGATCAGTGGGGGTATTCTTCATTCCTATGATAAAAGGTTTAGTTAATATACAAACTACAATGTGAAAAGTATGATATTTTGTCAATTAATGATTAATTAGACCTATATAACTTTGAGTTTCATTGTTTAAGTAGTTCTAGACAGTTTTTATTTTGAATTGCTATTCTTTGCAGAGTTGTATCAAAACTGTTCTTTGAAATTTCAGACAATGATAGAGTTCAATAGAGAAGATTTATTATCCCACCCTCTGACACAGAGTATGCTTATCATGAAATGGTAGGCATTTTATAATACCATTATCATAATTTCTATAACTGAACTTTGTCAGGTTGTTATGATATAGGCGATAAGACATTAATTATTTAATATGTGGTTAGAAAATATGAACTTTGATTGGTAATTGGATCATATTGTGAAATTACACTCATTGGTAAGATATGACCAGGATATACATGATGTTATTGTAGTCCAGTCTAGCATGAAGGTTGATGGTTCTGAAACATTGGACAAAGTTTTACAATTAAAACCTAAAAGTTGTTTTATAATCTTAATAATCGTTATCATAATGGTATGACAGTCAACAAGGAGAAAGGCTACAAAAGCTGTATAACAGATAAATCTTAGATTTAACAGAATTCTCAATCAGCCTTGAAAAGTGGTCTAAGACTACACAGGACTAGTTGATCAATACAGTATGTAAATGATATGTATATAATATTCCAGGAGAAAGTTTGGGCGTTACATCTTGTACAGTAATCTATTTATATACATTGTTTATGTGGCAACATTAAATGTATACATGACGTTGGTACCAGCAATGGCGTCACCAATCTTAGACAACCTACGACACTGTCCTATATACCTGAATGACACAGAATCTGCCAACGAGACTTTAGTCAACATAAAGAAAGAGGTACAAACATAATTTACTGTATAATTCATTTAATCAGTGAAAAAATAATGTCATTAAAATGTAAAAAACAGTGGTCAGAATTTTTTTCCATATTTGTAGCAATACATTTATAACTGAAGTGGATGCACAAGCAAAATGATTGTTAAGAATTGACAAATATATAAAATCTATACAGTAACCATCAATGATTTAAATAATAAATCAACAAGAGGACAGAAGTATATTTTAAATTATTTTCAGGTGAGTTGTCAATAAACCTATGAATACTAACATTTTTATTTTAGGAAAGTCATTTATCTACCCTAGATATAAGACACCCAGCATTGTTTTCCATGCAAGTTATACTTGAAGTGTTCATTCTCTTATTGATGGGCAAGGAACTATTCATGCTATGGGGACAGGTAATATTCTACATGTTCCACGGAGTTGTGAGAAGTGCTCTTCCCTAGGCAAATATTTCACTATTGGTATCTGTTTACTCTGCCCCCTGTATATGTTTGTCTGGTATATGTCTTAATGTAACAATACTCGCATATTGCATTCATGTCTTTACATTATGATATCATCTGCCCCCTGCCAGTTTAAACATCTCAAGTTAATGCCATTTGGATCTGTCAGTCTGTCACACCTCTTACATTACCTGATTCTTCATAAGACCTATCTACGTCATCTTTCTAGCTTGTATCAAATGAACCTGTCATAGTCACCTCTCAAACAAATACAACAAGGATCTGTCAATTATACCTCTCATATTAGTGCTACTTGCATTTGTCTGCTTCATTTCTTAAGCTGGAGTTATCTGAATTTGACCAGTTAACTGATCTTTCATTCTTGCAGCTTAAACAGTTGTTACCTAGCATCTGCTAGAACCATCAAACAATGTCTGTAACACCCCTCAGATTAATCCGGCCTGGACATTTCTGTCTAAATGTCCCCCCCTCTCAAAATGAGTGCAATCTGGATCTACCATGCCTGACCTTGTCTATAGCTGACACCAGTTAAGTGTCTGCCTTCTAATCTTTCAAACTTAATCTGCTTTCAATAATGTCTTAGATTAGTGACATCTATGTCTGCTACATATTTCAAGTTTGCATCATCTGGACCTGTCTATTTTGCCTGTCATGCAAGTGCCTTGTGAATCTAAAAACAAATATTTCTTGAATTTTACACACACACCTTTCTGCATCAAATCTTCAGCTAGCATCACCTGGATCCATCTCTTTCATCTCTCAAACCAGCTTCACATAGATCATTTGGTCATGCCTCTCAAATATATGTCTCTTTGACCATTTTGTCATGCCTCTCAAATTAATTTCATTGAATCATTTTGTCATGCCTCTCAAAGAAGTTTAACTTGGATCATTCAGTCATATCTCTAAATTAGTATCTTGTGAATCATTCTGCCATGCCTCTCAAATTAGTGTCATTTAAATGATTTTGTCATGCTTCAGAAATAAGTGTCACTGGATCAGATTGTCAACCCTCTCAAATGAGTATCACTGGATCATTAATTTTGGTCATGCCTCTCAAATTACTGTTATTTGAAACTTTCAGTCACAAGCATGCATCTTGAATAAGTGTCACCTGGATCAATTTGACATGCCTGTCAAATAAGTGTCGTCACAATCATGCTTTTGAATAAGTATCACCTGGATCATTCAGTTATACCTCCCAATTTTTATCATCTGGATCATTCAGTCATTCTTCTCAAACGAGTGTCGCTTGGATCTTTCGAACATGCCTCTGAAATAAGTGTTACCTGGATTTTTCAATCATGTCTCTCAAATCAGTTCTATTTTCCTCTGCTAGTTATATCTCTCCTCTAATAATAGTATCAAACTGACATACCCCTTTCCCTAAAATAAACTAGTTCTTTCTTTCATGTGTCTCCAGCTAATGTCAAGTGGTGTTGGGGTCATTCCTCTCAAATAGGAGTCACCTGACTATCATGCCCTGTCAGCTGTGACAAAAATGTAGGAAATCTGTTTCTGTTATCAAAGAGCACAAAGGATTAGAATACATATATATTGGTTCATGTTTTATTCTTAGGCTTCAACCTTATCTAGCAAGATTTTTCCTGAACCAATCCTTTTTTACCTGCAATGTATACTAGAGGGGTTCATTTTACTTCTTATGGCAAAAGAATTATTCCTATGCTGGGGACAGGTATGTAAATATATTTACAGGGAGTTTAGTTTACTTTAAGATATTAATAATTGATTAAGAGTAACCTTATTTGCACTTTTGCATTATGATATTTTGTTGTAATTTTACTAACAAACTACAGACATGGTGATAGAGATTCATCAGCTTTGATTAAAAATACTGTTTAACTATGTAAGATTTTTGATAAGTGATATTTTCAATTATCAATATTCTTGCATGTCTTTTGTCAGAAATACTACCCCATTTTGTTTTCAAAACAATATTAAAGATTACAGTATTTGCTTCAGTTGCACTAATCACTTATGGTTATTTTAAAATAGTAGCCCATTCTTCTCACAATTTGTTACTGAAAAAGTATTTAAGATATCAACTTGCATAAGTGTATAGATCCCATAGAGGATGCACAAGATTAACAACTGTTCACTACATTAATTTCAAGTTATTGCCCTTTGTTTCTTTTCTTGTTATTTTTTGTAAGGACCATAACTAAACTCCAAATATTAATTAAAAAAACTTCAGGGAGGAAAAGCTGGGGAATGCATTTGACAAGAATGAAAAACTCTTCATTTCGTTTTTAAAGTTATTCCCCCTTTGATTTTTATTTTAATTTGAAAGGGATCTAAAACTCATCGAGATACCACTTGTAATTAATATGTGGAAAGATTTCATAGAGGAGGAAGAGTGCAGACCTAAAGTGTTCACTTCATATACATTTTGTATCTTTTTTAATTATTTCCCTTAATTTCTTTTTCATATTATTGCCCTTTGTTATTCTAATGCTTATTTTTTTCTCAAGGTAATACATTTTCCTCTTAACTGTTAAAAATATCAGCTTAAAACTTCATTGGTGAATAACGTCTAATATCCCAGCTGAGTACTGGATTATTGCCATTTAATTATTTAATTAAGGTCAGTGTGTGTAAATGGACAGTTACAACTCTTTTTATTACTTTTCTTCTTTTTGGCAATGGATTTGGTAGTCATGACTGCTTTTTGTTCTGAATTGTTGTGGAGACTTGCCAATTTTTGTGTCGCCTTGAAAAGGTGACATATAGGGGTTACTTTTGTCGGCGGTGTCGGCGGCGGCGTCTGTGTCGTTGTCGTTGTCGGCGTCGCCGTTGTAGGCGTCGGCGTCCCCTAAAGCTTGTCCGGAGCATAACTCAGTCACTATAAGTCTGATTGACTTCAAACTTGGTATGCATGCTTCTTTCAATAACCCGAAGTGCAGTGCACAAGGACCGGTACTCTGCAGTTCTTATTTTTTGAGTTATTGCCCTTTGTTAATTTTCATACTTTAATTTTGTCCGGGCCATTTCTCTTGAACTAAAAAAGCTATGGACTTGAAACTTCATAGGATGATAGATCTTATTATTAAGAAGTGCAGTGCACAAGAACCAGTACTCTGCACTTCCTAATTTTTGAGTTATTGCCCTTTGTTAATTTTCATACTTTATTTTTGTTCCGGCCATTTCTCCTAATGTATAAAAGCCATGGACTTGAAACTTCATAGGATGATAGGTCTCATTATTAAGAAGTGCAGTGCACAAGAACTGGTACTCTGCATTTCTTATTTTTTGAGTTATTGCCCTTTGTTTATTTTCATACTTTAATTTTGTCCAGGCCATTTCTCCTTAAGTATAAAAGCTATGGAGTTGAAACTTCATAGGATGATAGATCTCATTATTAAGAAGTGCAGTGCACAAGAATCGGTACTCTGCATTTCTTAATTTCTGAGTTATGGCCCTTTGTTAATTTTCATACTTAATTTTTGTCCAGGCCATTTCTCCGAAAGTATAAAAGTTATGGACTTGAAACTTCATAGGATGATAGATCTCATTAAAAAGAAGTGCAGTGCATAAGAACTGATACTCTGCATTTCTTATTTTTGAGTTATTGCCCTTTGTTGATTTTCTTACTTTATTTTTGTCCTGGTCATTTCTCCTCAAGTATGAAAGCTATGGACTTGAAACATCATAGAATGATAGATCTTATTGATAAGAAGTGCAGTGTACAGAAACTGCTGCTCTGCACTTATTATTTTTTTAGTTATTGCCCTTTGTTATTTTTCATATTTAATTTTTGTCCTGGCCATTTTCCCTAAACTACATTGTTCACAAGGCGACACATCCGACTCGCGGAGTTCTAGTTAGTTTGTAACATTTTATTTAATTTAAGTGCCTCACATGTTAATATTTCTTAAATATAATCATGGTATAAATTAATATATCTTACTATTGTACATGTATATACCAGTATAACTGTAATAATATTTTGGGTAAATAGTTTTAAGAGACATCTTTTTTCTAGGTTTTGGTTACTACCCCCTTTTCTGTTAACCATTATATAGAGGTACTATTGTTGTAGCATTTAAATAATTTTCTTTATATTATTAAAGTTTTCAACCAAGAAGGTAATTATTTCATCTTCTAGGTTGTTGCTAGGTATAATATCAGGGATTTTCAGCAAACAGGGGAGATAATTATATTTTTTAGCGCTAGCACTAGTCTGGTCTTTCAAGGTTCTAAAATATTGGCTTCTTTATCATAGTGTGGTGAAATATATGATATATAAATACCTTGAATTAACAATAGACTGTTCCTAATTTAAAGTAAGATAAGTCCATTTTAAAAAGTCAGGTGAGGTAGGATATATACAAACTAAGGGTAGACAATTTCAGCATGACTGTATCAATAAATTACCATTGTTAGATGTTGTATCAAGAATGAAGTAGTATCAAAAACTTGTCTGTGATGCTAAATGTATTGTCAAATCATAACACTTGATGACATAGTCTTCTTTTTTCACAAAATAGTCAAAATAATCTTATACTGTTTGAGTCTAACTTGTGAATGTTAATACAATGTATTGCTGTTTTTTTTTCAATGATCAAAACCTAAAGCGAATTTGTCTTCACAAAATATGGTTGGATGCAATTTATATATAATTAAAATGATAGTTGAAACAGAAAAAAAGTGTACTATATAAAAGTTTTGTTTATATTGAGAAACAACTTTGTAAATCTAGTAAACAAAGTTCAGTGTACAATATGTGATATCTTTACACGGTGTTTTCTGAACATGTCCCATATATTATGCTTAGCAGCATCACCAGCATGCTAGTGTACTAACTGTAATTATGTTGTCTCAAAGTCCAACTCAGCATCAGTTTCTAAAGTTTTATTTTATATGCATGGTATGCATGCTTTGACAGTGAATGTTTTCATCTCACACACCCAACATTTATCATGAAGTTTTTTCACTATAATGTTTCTGTAATCATCAAGAATGCATCATCAATATTGAGTTGTATTTAATTTTTTCTGATACCTGATAGTTTGTGTTTCCGCTGTATTAACTTTGATTATTTATCAGAATTATGTGTGCATTTTGTCATCTGTTTAGATTTATTAAAGGCCAATAAGTAATGCTATTCTGTTCTCTTTAGTTCTGTCAAACAGAATCTGGTGATTAATCTCATATACAGATTCGAAACACTGCTAAAAATATTTCATCCATCATTTCCGCATCAGCTTTACATATTACTTGAGCTTTACATATTACTTGTATATAAGTACTGTTGGAACAAGGAACACATTATTGAATTTGATCTTTTTGCCTGCATATATAATAGAATCCTTTTTAGCTCATATACAGATTTACTTCCCTTGAATTTGTTCTTGCCCCCATATAAAAATATTACCCTTAGTTACAATAAGTTTGTTTCTATTATAACATGGACACTGTTTGTTTGTTAATGTCACCTTCAAACAAAGTACATGACTGTATCACATACTTGACAAAAGACTATACCATTACTTTCACTTCGTTTAACTCCAATATCATACAGTCATATAAAATATAACATGCACAATGATTATTCCCTTCTTGATGTGTGTACACATTTGTGTAAGTTAAATCTGACAGTCCTGTTTTGTTATGTTTGTTACTGTCAAGTTTATTTCTGTATGATCCAATAATGTTTCTATTTATCTGGTAAATGTACAGTCTATAATTATATTTTAAAGTTTTATTTAATATATTTCAAAATGTCAGGTATGAAAAATGACAGTTGTATATATACTACAGTAATCTAATGTGGCTAATTTCAGCATACATTTTATTACACTCACTGGAATGAACACTGTTTTTAACTTTTTAACTTTGTCTTCATTTAAATTTTTTTATAAGAAACATATTTTTGAGAATATATTGAATTGGGAACAAATTCAAAACAAGAACCTATTTATTTATTTTCAATAAACATGTTATATGTTTTCAGAAATGGCGCTATTTTATAAATCCTTACACGTACTGTAACTGGATCATGATGGCATCTACTCTTGTCTTCATTAATCCACCAAACTTATATCCTTGTGAGACAAACTGGAGAGGTGCCTGGATATCCTCACTCTGTGCCTGGACTTTACTTATCTCTTATCTACAAAGGTAATACTACATACTTCACATGTACAAATGTAAATAATTATATTGATATATCAGGTTAGATGTAATTGGTATACATCATTTGATATTTTGCATGTATATATCATTTGATATTGTAGGCTAGATGTAATTGGTATATACATGTATCATTTGATATTGCAGGTTATATGTAATTCAGGTATATATCATTTGATATTGCAGGTTAGATGTAATTCAGGTATATATCATTTGATATTGCAGGTTAGATGTAATTGGTATATATCATTTGATATTGCAGGTTAGATGTAATTGGTATATATCATTTGATATTGCAGGTTAGATGTAATTGGTATCTATCATTTGATATTGCAGGTTAGATGTAATTGGTTTATATCATTTGATATTGCAGGTTAGATGTAATTGGTTTATATAATTTGATATTGCAGGTTAGATGTAATTGGTTTATATAATTTGATAGTGCAGGTTAGATGTAATTGGTATACATGTATATCATTTGATATTGCAGGTTAGATGTAATTGGTTTCTATAATTTGATAGTGCAGGTTAGATGTAATTGGTATACATGTTTATCATTTGATATTGCAGGTTAGATGTAATTGGTATATATCAGTTGATATTGCAGGTTAGATGTAATTGGTATCTATCATTTGATATTGCAGGCTAGATGTAATTGGTATATATCATTTGATATTGTAGGCTAGATGTAATTGGTTTATATCATTTGATATTTAAGACATAACATCGGCCTGAGAGGTGTATGATCGGCTATTTAACAACGGTTTGGAGTTTTTGATGCGTAGGAATTGACCACGAAGGCAGTAGGCCTGAGTGGTTAATTTTGTCGCATCAAAACGACAAAACCGGTGTTAAATAGCCGATATACACCTCTCAGGCTGATGTTATTTCGATTCTAACACGATAAAATAAGGAAAATCACTAGTGTTATTTTTCAAGTGGAAAAAACTTTGGGTGCAGATTTTCGTATAACGCTGTTCAATTTTCGCACCCTACTGTTGCGAAGATATAGAAATTATTAAACAAAAGAAATAATAAGAAAAAAAAAACGTTATTTTATCAAGTTTTCAACAATAAAAACTTACGTCGTATTGTGTTTACATCAGTGCCCCATTTATCATTCTTGTATGTATGAAATAACGTCAGCTTGTTTACTTAGGATGACGTCATTACGCTGCTTACGGATTGGCGCCGTTTTGTCAAAATATTTATTAACTGATATGGATCTAATAGGTGGCGTTAGTGTATGTGAGATATTATTTCGGTATTGTATGAAAAGAAAACATTATACGAACTGAAAATATAAATAAAAATGCTTTTTATTGTTGCTTTAAAATGCTTTGTAAACTATACAATCGAGGGTGAAAACATAACAGCGCATATACAAGTAGTCCCTAACCGGTGTTTATTGGCAGTTTAACACCAGTTTTTTTCCTTCTTTGTCTATAGTGACAAAATCACGTGAGTGTTAGAATGCAGGTTAGATGTAATTGGTATCTATCATTTTTTTCTATCATTTGATATTGCAGGTTAGCTGTAATTGGTATACATGTTTATCATTTGATATTGCAGGTTAGATGTAATTGGTATCTATCATTTTTTTCTATCATTTGATATTGCAGGTTAGCTGTAATTGGTATCTATCATTTGATATTGCAGGTTAGATGTAATTGGTTTATATCATTTGATATTGCAGGTTAGATGTAATTGGTATATATCATTTGATATTGCAGTTTGATGTAATTGGTATCTATCATTTGATATTGCAGGCTAGATGTAATTGGTATCTATCATTTGATATTGCAGGCTAGATGTAATTGGTATCTATCATTTGATTATATGTATTAATATTGCAGGTTAGATGTAATTGGTATATATCATTTGATATTGCAGGCTAGATGTAATTGGTATCTATCATTTGATATTGCAGGCTAGATGTAATTGGTATCTATCATTTGATATTGCAGATTAGATGTTATTGGTATATATCATTTGATTATATGTATTAATATTGCAGGTTAGATGTAATTGGTATATATCATTTGATATTGCAGGCTAGATGTAATTGGTATATATCATTTGATATTGCAGATTAGATGTTATTGGTATATATCATTTGATTATATGTATTAATATTGCAGGTTAGATGTAATTGGTATATATCATTTGATATTGCAGGTTAGATGTAATTGGTATATATCATTTGATATTGCAGGCTAGATGTAATTGGTATATATCATTTGATATTGCAGATTAGATGTTATTGGTATATATCATTTGATTATATGTATTAATATTGCAGGTTAGATGTAATTGGTATATATCATTTGATATTGCAGGTTAGATGTAATTGGTATATATTGTTTGATATTGCAGATTAGATGTTATTGGTATATATCATTTGATTATATGTATTAATATTGCAGGTTAGATGTAATTGGTATATATTTTGTGATGTTCAATGAGGTTATGATGAGTTTAGCCAAGGTAAGCACATTTTTTACGGTACTTCTTAATATTTACTTTGGAAAATGCTTAGATAATAGGAGGACATTTGAAAAGAAATATTATTGTAACAGATCATCCAGTTCTATGTTTATGAAATTTGTTATTAATATCAAATGTGCTTGTTAACTGCATATTGAGTTTTTTATTAATCTAACATAAATAGCTGAATAATATAATCTGTAATAGCAAAAGTTAAGAGGATAAGCCTGCTGACCATCAAACACTTGCTCCTTGTTGGTGCTAATCTTTGTTGTTGTCAGTGTTTTTTACTGTTTGGTTATATGTCCCAGCAACACAGTACATGTACAGGCCATATGGCAACTTTCCATCTTTATTGGTAAAGAAAGACCTCAGGTGCTCTTCCAAGCATCATTTCACGCACAAACAGGCATCTGATTAGAACCACAGACATTCAGTTAGCTAGCTGGATAGCTTCCTCACATGAAAGAATCCCAATCCCAGTTGGAATTTGAGCTCTGCACAGAGTTGAGGGGCAAGTAGTTCAAAGTCATTGACCATAACCACTTGGCAATGGATGCCCCTTGTTAAAAATGTTTATATTTCTTTAACTTCAGGAAGCTTTCCGGTTGGTTGTTCTATATCAGGTGCCTGCTGAGGCTTTCCTGTAATAATAATATATATGTATGGTCATCTAGTATTTTCTCTCACTAGCATTACTAGAAGTGTGACTGGCTTAAAACCCAAACATTGAATATCTATAAGAGATTTCAGATTTGATGTTCAACTGAGATTTAACACTATTTTGTAGGTCATGTTGAACTTAAGATATAACATTATATTTTGTAGGTGATGTTGGTACTTATATTATTCATCATGGCATTTGCCCAGGCTCTTGGTGCTGTTATAGCTCAAGTGGTAAATTTTTTTACTTGTTTTTTCTCAATATTTATTTCTTTGATGTTATTTATTTTGCATTTTTTCTTTTGAAAGCACCAAATCTCATATCATTGGCCTATTCTGAACCTATTTGTAATAGCTTTGGTGTCATGTAACTTAATTATATTGTATAATACAACATTGGTTATTTTTCCATTTATTTCTTACCATGTTTGCTTTCACTAAACTATTATACTTATAGATTCAATATTGTCATTGTAATGGTCTGTATATAACAGATATTCATTTCAATTAGTTAAATATCCCCTACTTTTATAATTTCTATGGATATCATGATGTTTGGCTTAAGAGATTAGTATAATGTCTGTTTGCCACCTGGAGGCAAAGCAAAACGTTCTGCTTGATCATTTGATTAAAACATTTGTCTGATTAATATTAACTGTCTGTTGATTCTGATAGATATCCTCGTCCCAGGTGGAACCAACCATTTAAAGTAGGTGAACAGAAATTGATAAAAAATTATCAACTGCAGTGAACAAATGTGTTCTGTTTTCTGTTCAATTTATGTGTTACATTTTAACTGGTGTATAATTTTGCTGTTTCAAATTTCAGCCTGGATTTCGGGACAATGATGTATTTCCTTTGACAGTGTTAGCCATGACTCTTGGAGAGATCAACTTTGTAGATGTTTATGTGGAACAAGATAACTCCCCTTTCACTGTAGATGCTTACATTATTGTTACACTGTTCATGATCATTATGCCTATAGCTCTCATGAACTTATTGGTAAGATATCTACAAGTTAAACAGTTTTTTGTGGGGAGAAATTTTTTGAACTTTAAGGATAACATATTCTTATTGGAATTTATAGCAGTCAGCTTTTCATCACTTTTTATTCTTTTCTAGGAATTGTTGAATTATTATGTAATGTTTTTATTAGTGTTTCATTGAAAATTATTTCTGAGAAAATCAACCAGTCTCTTATAATAAAAGACTGATAAACTAATCAAATACAGCTTACAGAAAATGTGCCACACCTTATACCAAAAACGAGTCATGTGACCCTCAATGCCTAAAATTCAATTGTGTTTTAATACCCTGTGGGCTCCATAATAAATGTGGTAACCTGGTACATCACAGCATTGATGATTTTTGGGGTTCAGATTTTATTATATGGCTCTTTTGTTTTGGGTTCAGAATAGATTGTGGCTCTATTGTTTTGGGTTCATATTAAAATACATGTATGTACTATAATCAAGCAGCTAGGGGATATGATAATAGGGGATTTTTTTATGCTTAATTTTTGTATAGACCTACCTACCGGACCTAATCCTGTTTTCCCCTAGTGGGGCAAAGGGCATCCACAACAGCTCTCCATCTGGGTCGGTTCATTGGTGCTCTTTTTGCTTCTGCCCAGGTGATTTTTGTATAGAGATTACTTTAAATGCGTTTAATTTTAAGATATAAACTTGAAACTTCATAGGTGAATAGATTTCATTTGGGACAAGTGCATTGCACAAGAGTGAGAATTCTATCCTCCATAAAGTTATGAGCATTTGTATTTTTCATGGTCAACATTAACTTAATAGGTGAATATATCTTATTAAGGAAGATAGCAGTGCACAATAATGACAGTTAACTCTCCTCTTCATAAGTTTTGACCTATTTTGTCCAGAACATAATTCAGTAAGTTTTTGGAATATCAATTAAAACTTTATAGGTGGATATATGTCATGGAGGAAGTAGGCATTGTTCAAGTATAATAAACTTGTATCCCATTCTTTTTAAGTTATTGCCTTTGAAAATTCACTATATTCTTCATATAAATTTTTTCCTGTTTAGTAAGGATTTTGCAGTGGTAATTGTTTGATTTTGGCAATCAGCTATTAGTATATGTCTGCTAAACATAGTAGATTTTAACCATCCTGCACAGGAATGATCCATAGATTACCATTTACAAATATAAATACATGGCAAAGCTTAGATATTTGGTATGTATCATTTTCTTGTAACACTCAATAAGTTATCTTATAAACCCCAATGACTGTCTTCTGCTTTCAAAATTATGGCCCTTTCCTTGCAGTGGATCTCTTGAAATAATGTTGACAGGGACATCTAAGACTGTATCTTCTTTAATGCTGAAAATTTGTTGTGTAACCTTTATATGTTCAAATGACTAAAAACTAGAACTGTGTCCAAAGAACACGGATGCCCCCACTGACAACATATATATGGTATATAAGGCTCCCACGTTTACAATTTTTTGTAAACATTTACACGATTGCTAAGAACCGAAATGATACCGTTTAAACGGTGGTACCTCTATGTACTATACACACCATGTATTTGAGTCGCCAAATGATGTCTTTCTTTCTTTTTTTAATACATGTACAAATAAAGAATGTGCAAGGCTCATCACGATTGAGTCAGCACACATTTTTTGCATTGTAACCAATTTTTTACCAAAAATGTATTATGTCACGAGCAATTTTGTACGGTAATGCTGTGTGGAGGGTTGTAAAAACCCATTTTCCGTTTGTTTACTTTGGAATAAACCACTAGAATTTATAAAATCCATGATTACAGGCATTGATTAAGAAATTTTGTAAGACAATATGGTCATTTCGATTAAACGGTAAATAATATCGTAAACGTTTATGAATGAAAATCGAAACAAATCCGTTTAAACGTGTAATCGTGGGGCCTTAATGGTATATCCTTTCGACGGCCATCCGCTATACCCGTAGGACGGCCAAAGCGTAAGAAAACGTATCGAATTTTCACATTTCTGAAAGCCAGTCTTATTTTACAACAGACGTCTATAGGGTAGTTAAACGTAACAAAAATATACCTTTCTAGAAACCGTAGCGTAAATCAGCGTTAAACTTGAATTTTGTGTCATGCAAACCCGTAAAAACCTCGTTTTCGTACATTCTGGTTTTTTAATGTGTTTATGAAAAATCAAAATATTACGCTATGGCTGTTCAACTGCATACGATAAACAACAAAGCCATACCGTATAACACTGTTCAACTGCAATAAACAGACTCCCAATCCTTGTTTTTTAAAACAAGTTCTGAACGTTTTAAAACGGTAAATTTTACGTTCTTTACCATTATAGCCCATTAGAATACCGTGTTGAGTAAAACGTCCACAACGTTTTAAAACGTAATTATTGAAAATCAATGAAAATCAATTTTTCTCAGGAAGGGTGATTGATATTATGCTTTGCAACGTGAATTTTGTAAGTTCAACTCATTTTTGTTTCAAATAAGAGAACTGCTTACAGAAACTCTGTTTTGATGTATCAATAAATGCATTTTAAAAAATACTATACAATTTAGAAGATTTCTTCAATTAATTTGGATATCTATTTGATTACCACATTAAGTAAAAAGTGTACTGTAGTATATAGACTAAACATTTACAGTATATCTGTCAAATAAAGGGCACTATACAAAATTAACATATTTGGTGTTTTTATTTGAACAACATTTAACAGAATGTAAATAAATGAAAGGTAAACTTCAAGAATTTAGTCATTTAAAACTAAATTTTGGTGGCCTTCCTACGACAAAACAGTATAGTGGCTTTGCAGGAAGCCAAAATTTTATACTGGTTTATTATCGTTATAGCCTTCTTATGACTATAGCGCCGGCTTTTGAGAAGTCGATTTTTCGGTACGTTTATAACGCTATGGCCGTCGAAAGGGATATAGTGAAAAAATCAAACCAAAGTGCCATAAATTCTGTTAAAATTTTTTGGTCGCAGCAAAAATTCCTTCCTTTACTTCCATCTACACATTAAGGTTGTTCATCCCCGGAAGTTTAAGCAAAATCTACCATCCGGTTTAAGAGGAGTTGCGTTCACAAGATTTCGAGACGTACGGACAGACGGACGGAAGGACGTACGGACGGACAGACAAGTGCAACGCTATATGCACCCCACTTTGTGGAGGCATAAAACAAGATTGTCTCTTTCTTTACAAGAAATGTTATATTATGATATCTTTAATGCTTAAATTCTGAGCAGAATTTCTCCAGATTATTGTAGTAAGGCCATTTTTTTTTATATATTTTGGTTTACTGATTTTTTTCCAAAAAAAGGTAGGGTCGGCGGCGGCAAAAAAAAAAAAAAAATTTTCATAACTATAAATGGGTGCACATACATATACACAGTACTTACTACGAGACAATGAAATTTAATACATCGCCGATTGTCTATTCCCAAAGATTGTTTAAATACAAAAAAAAAAACTTTGCCCATAGTTTGCCATTGTTTTAAAAACACACATGATAATCTACACAAATGACTTTTGACAAGTGGCAAGCGAGACTCTTCAAAAGAATACTTGTCATTCTTTGATGTTTACATCACACTGCTGTGTAATCTGAATCATGCAAGGGTGCCGAAAATCACTTGAACTTGCACCTCATTTCTTTAATAGATCAGATGCTTAAAAAAAGTTGTCACAAGAAAAAGATTACAAACCAACAAGTCATGTCCAATTTTCGCCCATTGTGGAAAAATATTTTTATCGGATAAAAAGCAGGTCAATTTTTTTGACATAAAAATCTATTAAAAGAAGTGCTGGGCAATTTTTTTATTTTGTTTGTTTGAAAACCTGTATTCAATCTGTTTTAAAGAACTAATTTTTTTTTTGTTAAATCTGAAATATGATCTTTTCAATTGCAGCAGATTTCTTCTCGCTCTGCCTTGAATGTAATTGCTTACGTAATTTGGCGTGTTTTTTTTTTTTGTTGGGTTTTTTTTTTTTTTACATTTTTACGCATTTCGACCTTCAATCATTGATGAAATATGATCAAAAGCCTAATTATAATTCTGTGAGAATGCTTGACCCCATTTAAAACAGACATTCTTTCATAATAAACACCAATAAACATTTCCCCAACTAGCAGACGACAGGCTATTCTCGAGTAAAGATAACCGGTTGCGTATCTCACTGTATAAATCGTATGTAAAATAGTCTGGCATATGGTAGGTTTAACAGTTAATTAAAATACTTACCACGACATTTCTTTGACAAGTCGTTATTAGCAGCGTATTTCAAGACAACACAGAATTTTTTTGGGGGCAGATTTTTTTTTTTCATTTTCCCAAAATACAGAGTCGGCGGGTCAGTAAACCGAAATATCAAAAAATAATGGCCTAATTGTTAAAAAAATTAAATTCTGATGAGTAAAGTTTTAATCAAGTGTACAAATAAAGTCATATGACCATCACTGTGACACTTCTGCTGCTGTTTTCAGAAATGATCTTTAATTTGTTAAAGTATTCAGAAATTTATCTGACTCTGGTGGTAACAGGGTTGAACTGCGAGTAAATTTTGCCATATTTTGCATACTAAAACGTTTCTCCTGAATTGTGAATACTCATACATCTTTTAATCAATCAAAATAATTTTCTTGTGTTTAGATTTTTCAAGATTTATCATAATCATCTGGAGGTGTTTCATTTTGATATATCTGTTTTTCTGAAGTTATAAAATTTGACATTTATGATATATTGTAGATTGGTGTGGCAGTTGGTGACATTGATAAGATACAGAAACAGGCATACATCAAACGTATAGGCTTACAGGTCCTTATTATACTTTATATTTCAATGTAAAATAATAACAGGTCTTTACCATGCCTTATATTTCACTGATAAATAATAACAGGTTTTTACCATGCCTTATATTTCACTGATAAATAATAACAAGTATTTACTATGCCTTATATTTCACTGATAAATAATAACAGGTCTTTATCATGCCTTATATTTCACTGTAATAAAGTAAATAAAAGAGTAAAATATAAATTAGCTACAGTGACAGCAAATGTAGTGTGAGAATAAGTGTCCTATGGACACATTTCTAGTTTTTTTTTTAAGTAACCTCTTTTATGTCCTATATTTATGTTCTAATACAATATGATTTTATAATGCATCAGTTTGACTTTTAGTCTGTTCAAGTTTACACTTTTGTTATTTCTCTACATTCTCTCAAATCATATCATATTTTGACCCATTTTCAATATCATCACCTTAATTAAGGTACAGACAAAAACACTCAAGAAAGACAATACTCATTGTTGAGGATCCGTTATACAATATACTCATTGTTGAGGATCTGTTCTACAATACTCATTGTGAGGATCCGTTATACAATACTCATTGTTGAGGATCCGTTATAACAATACTCATTGTTGAGGATCTGTTATACAATACTCATTGTTTGAGGATCCGTTATACAATACTCATTGTTGAGGATCCGTTATACAACTCATTGTTGAGGATCCGTTATAAACAATACTCATTGTTGAGGATCCGTTATACAATACTCATTGTTGAGGTTCCGTTATACAATACTTCATTGTTGAGGATCCATTATACAATACTCATTGTTGAGGATCAGTTATACAATACTCATCGTTGAGGATCAGTTATACAATAATCATTGTTGAGGATCTGTTATACAATACTCATTGTTGAGGATCCGTTATACAATACTCATTGTTGAGGATCTGTTATACAATACTCATTGTTGAGGATCCGTTATACAATACTCATTGTTGAGGATCTGTTATACAATACTCATTGTTGAGGAGATCCGTTATACAAAAACTCATTGTTGAGGATCTGTTATGCAATACTCATTGTTGAGGATCCGTTCTACAATACTCATTGTTGAGGATCCGTTATACAATACTCATTGTTGAGGATCTGTTCTACAATACTCATTGTTGAGCATCCGTTATACAATACTCATTGTTGAGGATCCGTTATACAATACTCATTGTTGAGGATCCGTTATACAATACTCATTGTTGAGGATCCGTTATACAATACTCATTGTTGAGGATCCGTTATGCAATACTCATTGTTGAGGATCCGTTCTACAATACTCATTGTTGAGCATCCGTTATACAATACTCATTGTTGAGGATCCGCTATACAATACTCATTGTTGAGGATCCGTTATACAATACTCATTGTTTGAGGATCTGTTATGCAATACTCATTGTTGAGGATCCGTTATACAATACTCATTGTTGAGGATCCGTTATGCAATACTCATTGTGAGGATCTGTTATGCAATACTCATTGTTGAGGATCCGCTATACAATACTCATTGTTGAGGATCCGTTTATACAACTCTCATTGTTGAGGATCTGTTATGCAATACTCATTGTTGAGGATCCGCTATACAATACTCATTGGTTGAGGATCCGCTATACAATACTCATTGTTGAGGATCCGTTATACAATACTCATTGTTGAGGATCCGTTATGCAATACTCATTGTTGAGTCGATCCGTCTACAATACTCATTGTTGAGCATACCGTTATACAATACTCATTGTTGAGGATCCGCTATACAATACTCATTGTTGAGGAATCGTTATACAATACTCATTGTTGAGGATCTGTTATGCAATACTCATTGTTGAGGATCCGCTATACAATACTCATTGTTGAGGATCCGCTATACAATACTCATTGTTGAGGATCCGTTATACAATACTCATTGTTGAGGATCTGTTATGCAATACTCATTGTTGAGGATCCGTTATACAATACTCATTGTTGAGGATCCGTTATGCAATACTCATTGTTGAGGATCTGTTCTACAATACTCATTGTTGAGGATCCGTTCTACAATACTCATTGTTGAGGATCCGTTATACAAAACTCATTGTTGAGGATTCGTTATACAATCAGATTGCTTAAATTCATATTGATAGAACACTCTTCCTTCTGTAATTTATATAATTTTGTTTGAAGCAAATGAAATATTTGTAGAATTGCAATCAATGTGAAAATAATAAGTTTGATATTTTAGTTATCATTGTATTTTCTAGTCTGATCATGGTTATTATCGTATTTTCTAGTCTGATCAAGTTAATGACAGTGAGAATAGGTTTCCAAAGTCATTACAGCGTCGAGTATATCAGAAGTTCTTTACCATCAAACCCAATGAAGAAAAAAATACTAAATGGGCAAGGGTATGAACTGTTTTTTATTCCTAGGATTTTTATCATTAAGAAGTACACTATTTTGCTAACTTAGAGCTCAGTGAGTGTGTTAGTAATTTAGCTAGCATACAAATTACTTATGACAACTTGTGCAGTCACACAAGCCTGAAATAATGATAGGCCTATTCTTTAAATGTTTGAATGCAAACAGATCATTTACTGTGAAATTATTGTTTTAGTGAAAAACCTAAAAACTGTATTACTTTAAAATTTAGATTAATTGTTATAAGCTTAAATAATATGTGAAAATAACATAGTGATACAGACTTGTTTTGGTTTTGAATAACAAATAGCTTTCTATTACATGTTTGCAATGGAACATTCATAATTTCATTGAAAATATTCAATGTTTGGAATGGAACATTTTTTATTTCTGTTCAAGTATTACATGTTTGCAATGGAACATTCATAATTTCATTGAAAATATTCAATGTTTGGAATGGAACATTTTTTATTTCTGTTCAAGTATTACATGCTTGGAATGGAGCATTTATAATTTCATTGAAAATATTCAATGTTTGGAATAGAACATTTTTTATTTCAGTTCAAGTATTACATGCTTGGAATGGAGCATTTATTATTTCATTTCAAGTATTATGTGTTTGGAATGAAGCATTTATTATTTCAGTTCAAGTTGTGCATGTTTGGAATGGAACATTTATTATTTCAGTTCAATTATTACATGTTTGAAATGGAGCATTTATTTCAGTTCAAGTATTACTTGTTTAGAATAAACATTTATTATTTCAGTTCAAATTGTACATGTTAGTAATGGAACATTTATTATTTCAGTTCAGTTCAAGTATAACATGTCAGTAATGGAACATTTATTTTTTCAGTTCAATTCAAGTATTACATGTTAGGAATGGAACATTTATTATTTCAGTTCAAGTATTACTTGTTTAGAATGGAACATTTATTATTTCAGTTCAAGTATTACATGTTTGGAATCACAACATCTGTAGAGTTTATAGCTCAGTCAGAGAAAGACTTTACAGTAGAAACACTGCAAGAAATACAGAGAAATGTCTACAAAAATAAAACACAGTATGTATAACATGAACTTCTCATTTTATATCTAAAATGTTGTAGAATCATTGTAAATGAGTGTTATTATAGCCATAATACATTTTTTTATAAAAAAAGTTTCATATTAAAACGTTCATGCAGATAGATCAACATCAAAACTTGGTCTTCTTCAAATAGCACCCAAGTCTGATTAGACAAATAATTGTGTCCTTTTATTATCTGTAACTTTAAATTAAATTTTCGTCTAAAATCAGGCAAAAGGGTGAACTTGTGAATAATCCTTTACATTTTAAAGCTCGAGAGTTGACATATATTGTCTCCATTAACTTACATGTTATTGTATTTGTAGGTTGAGTGAGATGCAGCATAACATGAGGTTACAACAAGATTTATTGAGGAATCTATGTGACCATTTCCATATTGAGATAAAAAATGACCAGTATGATAATTTGTCACTGGTCAGTGATAGAACTGAATTCCCAAACAGATTTGACTTTGTGTAGCCTCTAGTGTAACTTGGAGGTGTCATCACTGTTGTTATATATAAAGTAATGAATGGTAAAGCTTATACAGTTATAATGATGACTTTTGCAGAATGTCAAAGGAAAAACAATAAGAAACAAAAACAATAAGAATTATCTGTGAAGAAACTGTTTTGTGTCAAGTGCAATAAACATGTGTAAATACAAACAGTTATAGACATATAATGATATACTCATTTATAAAAATCTATATACAGTAGAACTTCTATGAGTCGAACTTCGATTAGTCGATTTTCTCGATGTGTCGAAGAACAAGAGGGCCATGATGGCCCTGAGGTCGCTCACCTGTATATAGCCCCCCCCCCCCCCCGGCCCAATTTTTACCCAAGGGCTTTTATTTGTTTATTTGAACAGACTTGGTAGACACCCATAAGAAAATGTTTTCATGCAAAAACATCTCAGTTCTAGCTCATTGGGTTTTTTAAAAGAAGATTTTTTTAAGTTTTTACACATATAGTTAAAAACAATGACACACCCCTCGGGCAGGGCCAGTTTGACCCCTGGGCTTTTATTTGAACAAACTTTGTAGATATTTACTTAAAGATGTTTCATGCTTAATATCTAAACTCTAGTTATTTGGGTTTTTTCAAAGAAGATTTTTAAGTTTTTGCTATGTATATAAGGAAAATCAATGACCCCCGGGGCGGGGCTAGTTTTGACCCCAGGGCTTTTATTTGAACATACTTGGTAGACACTTATTAGAACATGTCTCATGCTAAATATCTTAGCTCTAGCTCTTTGGGTTCTTTAAAAGAAGATTTTATATGTTTTTACTATATGCATATAAGGAAAATCAATGACCCCCTGGGGAGGGGCCAATTTTGACCCCAGGGCTTTTATTTGAACAAACTTGGTAGACATTCACTAGAAGATGTTTCATGCCAAATATCTAAGCTCTAGCTCTTACGATTCTTTAAAAGAAGATTTTTTAAGTTTTTACTATATGCATATAGGGAAAATCAATGACCCCAGGGGCGGGGCCAATTTTGACCCCAGGGCTTTTTATTTGAACAAACTTGGTAGACATTCACTAGAAGATGTTTTCATGCCAAATATCTTAGCTCTAGCTCTTTGGGTTCTTTAAAAGAAGATTTGTTAAGTTTTTTACTTTATGCATATAGGGAAAATCAATGACCCCCTGGGGCGGGGCCAATTTGGACCCCAGGGCTTTTATTTGAACAAACTTGGTAGACATTCACTAGAAGATGTTTCATGCCAAATATCTAAGCTCTAGCTCTTTGGGTTCTTTAAAAGAAGATTTTTTAAGTTTTTACTATATGCATATAGGGAAAAATCAATGACCCCCCGGGCGGGGCCAATTTTGACCCCAGGGCTTTTATTTGAACAAACTTGGTAGACATTCACTAGAAGATGTTTCATGCCAAATATCTAAGCTCTAGCTCTTACAGTTCTTTAAAAGAAGATTTTTTAAGTTTTTACTATATGCATATAGGGAAAATCAATGACCCCCCCGGGCGGGGCCAATTTTGACCCCAGGGCTTTTATTTGAACAAACTTGGTAGACACTCACTAGAAGATGTTTCATGCCAAATATCTTAGCTCTAGCTCTTTGGGTTCTTTAAAAGAAGATTTTTTAAGTTTTTACTATATGCATATAGGGAAAATCAATGACCCCCCCGGGCGGGGCCAATTTTGACCCCAGGGCTTTTATTTGAACAAACTTGGTAAGACATTCACTAGAAGATGTTTCATGCCAAATATCTTAGCTCTAGCTCTTTGGGTTCTTTAAAAGAAGATTTTTTTAAGTTTTTACTTTATGCATATAGGGAAAATCAATGACCCCCTGGGGCGGGGCCAATTTGGACCCCAGGGCTTTTATTTGAACAAACTTGGTAGACATTCACTAGAAGATGTTTCATGCCAAATATCTAAGCTCTAGCTCTTACAGTTCTTTAAAAGAAGATTTTTAAGTTTTTACTATATGCATATAGGGAAAATCAATGACCCCCTGGGGCGGGGCCAATTTTGACCCCAGGGCTTTTATTTGAACAAACTTGGTAGACATTTACTAGAAGATGTTTTATGCCAAATATCTTAGCTCTAGCTCTTACGGTTCTTTAAAAGAAGGTTTTTTAAGTTTTTACTATATGCATATAGGGGAAAATCAATTACCCCCCAGGGCGGGGCCAATTTTGACCCCAGGGCTTTTATTTGAACAAACTTGGTAGACATTCACTAGAAATGTTTCATGCCAAATATCTAAGCTCTAGCTCTTTGGGTTCTTTAAAAGAAGATTTTTTAAGTTTTACTATATGCATATAGGAAAATCAATGACCCCCCGGGGCGGGGCCAATTTTGACCCCAGGGCTTTTATTTGAACAAACTTGGTAGGACATTCACTAGAAGATGTTTCATGCCAAATATCTAAGCTCTAGCTCTTACAGTTCTTTAAAAGAAGATTTTTTAAGTTTTTACTATATGCATATAGGAAAAATCAATGACCCCCCGGGGCGGGGCCAATTTTGACCCCAGGGCTTTTATTTGAACAAACTTGGTAGACATTCACTAGAAGATGTTCCATGCCAAATATCTTAGCTCTAGCTCTTACAGTTCTTTAAAAGAAGATTTTTTAAGTTTTTACTATATGCATATAGGGAAAATCAATGACCCCCCGGGGCGGGCCAATTTTGACCCCAGGGCTTTTATTTGAACAAACTTGGTAGACACTCATTAGAAGATGTTTCATGCCAAATATCTAAGCTCTAGCTCTTAGGGTTGTTTTAAAAGAAGATATTTTAAAGATTTTTTCTTTCGGTTGCCATGGCAACCAGAGTTCTGCATGGAATTAAATTCTTTGAACAATTTTTAAAGGTGACCACCAAAGGAACATTCCTGTGAAGTTTGGATGAAATTGGCTCAGTGGTTTATGAGGAGATGTCATTTAAAGCAAAAGTTTACGGACGGACGACGGACGCCGGACGGACGCCGGACGGACGGACGGACGGACGCCGGACGAAAAGCGATCACAAAAGCTCACCCTGTCACTTTGTGACAGGTGAGCTAAAAATGAAAGTCCCGATTTTTTCCCCTATATATACTTTATAGAAACCTATTTATGAGTCGAGATTTTATGTGTCGAATTTTTCGATGTGTCGAAGTTTTTTCGTTGTCCATATAAAGTAAATCTAGTGCAATTTACCACAAATAAGTCGAAGTCGTTCGATAATTTTGACACCTTCGATCTCGAGATATTTTTCGCACCTTAGCTGGCTGCGAAGACGATTTCCAATCAACTTGTGTGACAGGTGTTAATTACACAGCCGTGTGTTCAAACAGCCTTTGTTTGCGATAAAATGTGTGATAAAATGCTTTGATCGTTTCTATTTTAATTGCCGTAGTGGTAATTGACAGTAAACGGTAAGAACTACTTTCATTTGAAAACGGTCAAAACATCGGTGACCCGGTGTCGCGTGAGAATTACACGCGAAATATTTATTATAAGCTGATTTAGTTATCGCCCTTTCGTATTGTTACGCCTTTTGTAACTCTATTGTATACGTTAACGGGTAGTCTAAATAATTAGCCGTAAAAAAAAGTTATTTAACATTCTATATTTATCATTGTACAATGTAAAATATCAGATTAATGATGGAAAAACATGAAATAGGTTTCGTTCTAGATATTATAATTAGAAGTAGTCACGGGTCGAAATTTTGTCATGGAATTGAGAGAAATTCATGAGTCGAAGTCCCGATGTGTCGAAGTTTTTACGCAAGTCCCTTCAACTTCGACTTACCGAAGTTCTACTGTATTTGGAACAGTAGATAACCATTCTTTACCAATTAAATTTTAAATTAATTTTTTAAAATATAAGTGATAAATGAGTGTCCTTTACTTATTTCTATGTTTATGTTTCTTTGCTTGTTATATTTGGTTAAATCCCAAGTCAGAAATGGTTAGAAATCATTGGTGACAGTTTACCATACAAGTTTTCCATAATTCAGTGCCAGTACTAGTCTGTGATTCTATTAGTGACTGCCTTCTTTACCAATTATTCATTTTGAAACAGAGGTGAAGAGTAAATGGAATTATTCATATACAAAACATACAGTTGCCAGGGTCTGATATCCATAAACCTAACATTCTTCTTGAATGACAGCCAAACATTTTTTCCTTCAAATTAAAGTAGATATTGAATATATTGTAATATAAGGACATTTCTTTTATGTACATAATATGTATAAGCTGTTTGTGTAACAAAACTAATAAATATATTTATACTTATACCGGTACCTTTCTAAATTCTTGTAATTCTGTTTGTTTGATTGGGTTTAATGTGACTACCGTCACAGTATAGGTCATTTGGCGACGTTCCAGCTTTACTGGTGGAGGAAGACCTCAGGTGCTCTTCCGTGCATCATTGCCGGCAGGAACGGGCACCTGAGTAGAACCACCAACGTTCCGTAAGCTCAGTAAGCTGGATACCTTCTTCACATGAAAGAATCTCAAGTCCCTGTCCGGTTTCGAACCCACAGCGGTGAGGGGCAAGTGGTTTGAAGTCAACGACCTTAACCACTCGGCCACCCCACTTGTAATTCTGTGAAATAAGTGTAAAAAAACTCAAGACACATGGAAGAATCAGGACATCCAGTAGTAATCAATAATTTTTGGACCTACAGGGTAAATCAAAAGAAAATTTGAGTGATGGATAAATAAAATCCCCTCAGCAGACTTTTAAAGTGACATTATGTGCTACAGTGCATTTGTCAAGTTGAGCCGAGTTTACTTAATATTTCAAAAAACTGTTATAATGATGATTGACGAAAAATTGTATTGGAAAATGTTTAGGATAAATTACAAATCTGCTTTAAAAATACAAAAAGACTGTCATACTCTTTTTTATAATTGAATGTTACACATAAATTCGGTTAGATATTTACAAAAATTTCCAAAGGCCAAATGAATCATTTATCGTTCATGCAAAGTAAATTATAAAATTAGTTTAAACAAATTTATTTAAGCTTGATTGTGAAACAAGTTCTTGCAACTTATAATAATCACTTTCGAGTCCACTTCCTGGATCCAACCAGTACTGGTGTCATATAAAGAAACATGGTCCTGACCCAAGTAGGGTTTGACCCATGATCTCTAGGTCAAGAGGCAAACACCTTTACCATCAAGCCACCACTCCCCTTAGGCTACCACTCCCCTTGTATGAATTACAAAT